GTTCGCTAGTCTGCCTTATCGAATACTTATAACGACTTACAATCTACTACTCGATCGGTTAAGCTAGGAGGAACCCTATATTCTCTTAGCCCTTAAAAGAGGGTATAGAACTTGGCGTGCAAGTCTCTATCCCCTGCTCGTAGGGTAAAGTGTAACTAACGAAAACCCGGGCAAGGCTATTCGAGAATCTACTCTAGTTATTCGAGAATCTACGGACCTAGGGCCGCTCCGGTCTTAGTAAGACTACATTGTTAGTAATCTATACTATAGAACATCGTATAGTAACTTCTAATGCCTATGCTAGCTGCTTAGTAGAATAATAACGTAGGAAAGAAGAATTAAGTAAATAATAGACGTAGAATTCGACCTTATAGCTAATCTTAACTATTCTAGGCATACTACCTACCTAGCAAATAAGGTTCTACGACCCTCGTATTAACGTATAGTTCCTGCTATATAATCTTAGTATAATCTAGCATACCTGCTAGCGCCGTAGGTACTAGTAGAGCCCTCGGAGCGGGCGGAGGTCTTTCCTAAGTAGGTAAATAAGTACATATAGGGTTTCTATCGTAGGGCCTATACTTATAATAGCTAGAGTAGCAGTCTATATTATCTTTTACGCACTTGCACCTCCTATAGGCTGTTTTGCATATATAGCCCTTACGTAAACGTTCTCCTCGTAGTGCTAGTAGCGGTAGAATAGGCCTCCCCGGCTTAGCCTGTCTTATCGCTTCTTGCTAGTTAATAGCGGCCTGTCTAGCGGCCTGTCTAGCGGCCTATCTAGCGGCCTATCTAGCGGCCTATCTAGCGGCCTGTTTAGCGGCCTATCTAGCGGCCTGTTTAATTAGCTTAGGTCTAGTAGCCTTACGCCGAGTCGTACGACTAAGCCGCTTATTAATCCGCTTAAGTAGCTCTAAGGTGCGGTAAGTAGTTATCTCGTTGCTATTATAATCGCTCCTTAGTACTCGCTAGTACTTCTCGAATATACGAATAGTAAGAATGCCGGTTATAGACTCCTTAAGTGCTAGCATCTAGTATATACAATTCAAGCTATAGACCCTTTAATAATACTAGGTACAATCTAATAGCCTATAGTTATTAGACTTCCGCTTCTCGAGCTTAGCGCGTACAAGGGCCCTTCGCTCGGCTACTTTACGTAGAGCGAATGTGCTAATATAGCTAATAACTTTAGCGTAGAATAGATCGCTTAAGAATACCGCTACTAGTCGTATAATCTCGAGTCTAACTATTGCTTAATAGCGGTTAACCTAATACTAGAAATAGGGCACTATCCGGTTAATAAAGCTATAGATATTATTCTTATAGGTCGTTAACTATGCCTTAATATTAGCGTAACAACCTTCTACTAGCGAGGTTGTTGTATTGCTAAAATAGCGTATCCTGTTAATCTAGTACTTAATATAGTGCTATCGGTAAACCTACTATATATTAGCTATATAACTAGCTAGTGTTTGCTAGTCCTTATTGTCCGAGTGGTCTCGTATAGGCTTACCTTTACGAGCGGCAATCTTGCCGCCCTCTAGGGCTTTCGAGTTAGTTATAAACGACTTAACCGATAGCGAGTTAATAGCCTTATTAAATAGGTCTATAAAGTCCTATATAGCTACACTTAATAGCCTCCGCCTTATCGATAGATTAGGTAGCCTAGTACTAAGGAAGGCCTTTATATTAGCCTCTACTACGCGCCTAATATACTAGCGGTAGAGCTGTATATATAAATGAGTCTAGTCGCTTGCTAGTGCCTTTATTAGTGCCTTATTACGGTTATAGATTATAAGCCGAGGCTCTTCTACGCCGTATTCTAATAGCAACTCCTATATATAGCTAATAGCTATAGAATACTATTTAGTTGCCTGTCTAGGCATAAATATAAGCGCTAAAGGGAAGGTTTAGTTGAATTAATTAAGTAAGGCAATTATAAGCAATAGCAAGCCGTATTCGTTAGTTTTATAGGTACAATCTATAACTATTATATTCGGACAATTCTTATAGATATTAATTATCTTAGAGTGCGAGAAATATAGCTATTCTAGCCGTTACTTACCGCTGCCTTATCTAGTACTAATACCCTTCTGTATAAAGTAGTTCTATTATAGGAGATCCTTAATCGTCTTATCGACTACTAATTTGCTAGCGAGTCGCAACTTCTTAGCCTTTTACTAGGCATTTAAGATATCTCGTAAAGTAGTAGGTACGATAGGCGATTGCTAGTCTCTACTACTAAAACGGAGCTTAATAGCGGCCTTAATCTGTCGATTAGTAACGCCTATAGACCTTAACTACAATATAGCCTTAATAATCTCTATTATATAAGCTCGGCGGCGGTAATTAGCTAGTACTATTAGATAGACTACTAGATAGTTATAGTTAGAGCTATTAAATATAAGAGACTAGGTGCTATTATCGGGGTCCTTCTAGTCGTCCGTAGTAAGGGCTATAGACTAAGGGCAATTACACTTCTTCGAGCGGCCCTTACGAGTCTTAGTAGTAGGATAAAGAAGCCTTCTCTCGTTACGCTTCTTCCTTACCGCCTCGCGTAATACTAGTATCGAATACTTAGCATAGCGTAGTAAGAAGGTCTAGTAAGTATAGTCCTTATTGTGCTTATAGCTAGTCCTTCTAAGCTTAAACCCCTTCTCTAATACGAATAGGCCTATATAGTCCTCGGCTGCTATAATACTATTAAATACCTAGTTTTCGGGGTTCTCGATAGTTACGTACGACCTAGGTTTATATGCCTCTACTTCTAACTCAGACTAGTTACTATATTCGTCGTTATTGCTAAAGTTATAGGCTAGTTGTTAAGGAGACTCGATTTCTACTAAAGGAGGGCGTTGTTCCTATTACTAACTAACCCCGCTTTCCCCGTTATTACTATTACTACTACTACTACTACTACTACTACTACTACTACTAACTTCTTCCTCTTTACTATTCTATTTATTATTCTATTTACTATTCTTACTACTTAGTAGTATCCTCTTACTAGGTATAGTATATAGTATAAAGCGGATCGCTTTATATCCTACTTCGTACTATTCTAGTAAATTATCGAGGAAGGGGATAGTTAGGTTAAGGGTCTTAAAGGTACTATCTAGCTTACTAGCTAACTAGCTAGAGGGATTAAGACTATCGTATCTAGCCTTATACTAATAACTAATATAGCGCTACTAGTACGACTGCTCGCTCTCTACTATATCTTCCTAGAAGTCTAAGAGGAATTGCTTTAAATACTAACGGTCGACACCCTCCTAGTACTAGTAGGCTAGATAGTCCTTTAGTCTATATATCTGTTTAACCTATAATTTAAGGCCTCTAAGGTCGCCTAGGTACGGCTTTCGCTCTTACTATAGCTTCTTACTATGTATTCTTTATAACTAGAAGACCTTAGGATTATATAATTAAATAGGGGCGGCGGCGGTAGTAGCGGCAGCGGCGGCGGCGGCGGCGGTAGTAGCGGCCTTATACTCGGCTTATAACTGCGTAGAAGGGCTTAATAATATAGCTAATCGATAGCGACGGTAAGGTTAAAACAGCGATCAAAACAGCGGTAACGGTAAGGTCTAGTAGTAGAGAACTTAGCTAACAAATTTGCCTTAGGCCTCCTCCGTGATCGGATGCCCGGATTCTCGAATAACCGGAGTGGATTCTCGAATAGTCTCGCCCCGAAAACCCGGGTAGGGGAGTGTCATCCGCATATAGGAAGCCGGTCCGGACCAATTTTGCAATTTGTGCTTTTCTCTATAATAGCAAAGATGTGCACCAAATTTGCTACAGTAGGCAAAGGAAAGTTGCAAGGGTCTTCCGTAGAGCGGCTTCCTGTATTGCAGGTGACACTCTGTACGATCAGTGGATTGCACGGACTGCAGCTGCAAGTTGTTGAGGGAGCAGATCAATGATGAACGAACCGTTGGAAATGCTTGGAGGAATTCGATACTGAATGACCACTCGTGAGGACGGTCAAAATGCTTTAGAGCCCAGGCTGAGCCTCGTAGGGTTGAAAATTTCCTCGGAATGCCTCCTTTCCTTTCTGCAGTCTGGGCGCATCATCTCGAGCAATGACACTCCTGGCGGTAAGGGTAAGTTAGTCAACGCTGTGCAATATTGACCTCAGGGAAGTCTCAGGATAGCGCAACGGTATGTGATCGTACTCCAAGCATGATACCGGGACTCGAAGAAGCAGCTCACCAGGTTGGATTCTGCCCAGTAGGTTCCTCTGTCGTTGTGTCCATCAGGACGGGACTCGGTCACCGATCTTCCTCCAGAACTCGCAACGCTTGCCTCTCCCTCCTTCCTAGGTATACGCATCAACGACTCGAATGTCATCAGCCAGTCCTGGCTCTCTGTGCTGCGTTGCATTTGGCATTTTCGCGACAACCTGAGAGATGTATGGGGTACCGCCCGTCTCACTCAAGTCCAGCGTTCTCCAGAATTGGTCATCATGTTCGATGAATGTTGGCCACTCCTGCTCGCTGGACGGATCGTTGTTCACGATGAAGTTGGCCCCATGACCGTCCAAAAACTTCCACGAATGCGGAGCTCAATATCAGGCCGGCCTCTAGGTCGCTAATCAACGCCGTTCCAATCCACTCCATGCTGTGCAGCCAGTACAGATGGTGCGGAGAAAGAAGTCAAGTCCATCCTCTGATCGTCACCACAATGGCCTTGCTCTTCTCCATCTGGTATCCCGGCACGTGCTTCGTGACACTCTAAATTCTTAGCTTCATCTCTCCAGCTTCCGATTCTTCCAGAGCCATCAATTTCATCGTAATGTCGTTGCCCTTGATGAAGAGAACGCGCGCGGCCGGCATTACGAGCTCTGATGAGGCGGAGTTGGCCGAGAATCCTGGTCGGCTCCTTCAGCAACTTCACACGCCAAGAGATAGATGGAGATAGAGCGTGCCTGCTTTTTCCCTCTACCATAGACATAGATCGAACGTAAGCCTGGTTTCATTTCTTCCCCGCGACCTTCGTGTTTCCAAGGGCACATGCACGGGAGCATCGCAAAGATGACACTCGAAAAGACCATCTACCAAGGACCTTACATCCACAGCAAATCGCAAACGGAGTTGGAGTATGTAGAAAAAGCCCAAATCGGCGTAAACGAGGACGGAAAGATCGCTTTCGTCAACCAAGATCTCACAAGCACACTACCCGAAGGCTGGAGAAATGCCAAAATCATAAAAGTTCCCGAGCCAGGTTTCTTCTTCCCGGGATTCATCGACACTCACATCCACGCACCACAATACCCAAACGCCGGGATTTTTGGCAAGACTACGCTCCTGGACTGGCTCAAGAAATACACGTTCCCTCTAGAGGATTCATTCTCCGATGTCAAGAAAGCGCAAAGGATCTACAATCAAATTGTCTCGCGGACGCTATCACATGGCACCACGACGGCTTGCTACTATGCTACGATACACGTTCCAGCCACCAATCTTCTGGCCGACATCTGCTTCAAGCGTGGACAGAAAGCTTTCGTAGGACGTGTTTGTATGGACCAGAGTGTAGACTTGGAGAATCCAGATTTCTACCGAGATGCTTCAGCTGAGGCGAGCGTGGAAAGCACGAAGCAATGCATTGAGCATGTGAAGAGCATTGATCCGAATTATGAGCTGATCTCTCCAATCATTACGCCACGCTTCGCTCCGAGCTGTTCAAGGGAGTCGATGCAGGCTTTGGGAAAGCTTCACAAGGAAACCGGGATTCCTGTCCAAACACATATCGATGAGAACAAACCCGAGATTGATCTGGTGAAGGAGATGTTCCCTGATGCGTCTCATTATGCTGGGGTATATGACTCTGCAGGCCTGCTCACGTCTAAGACCATACTGGCGCATTGTGTCTGGCTCAACCCCGAGGAACGTCGGCTTATCAAAGAGCGGGACGCCAAGGTCAGTCACTGTCCTGCGTCAAATACTGCCTTGAAGTCTGGGTGCGCACCCATTCGACAGCTACTGAACGAGGGATTGACTATTGGTCTGGGTACCGACGTTTCTGGTGGCTACACGCCTAGCATTCTAACGCAGTGTCGAGAAGCACTTTTCGTGTCACGCTTTCGTGCGATGAATGATGGAGACGAAGCCGCACTGAGCGTCGAGGAGACCTTGTACCTGGCGACTCGTGGTGGAGCCAAAGTGGTTGGTCTTGAAGATCGGATTGGTGGTTTCGAAGTTGGCAAGGACTGGGACGCACAATTCATTCATCTACCGACTGTGAAGGAGGACGACAATTTCGATCAGATCACAGGGCCAGCGGAACTATTCGGGCATGAGGATTGGAATGACAAGATCGAGAAATGGGTATGCACCGGGGATGATCGCAACACGCACGCAGTGTGGGTCAAAGGAAGGCTGGTGCATGTGAAGAGTGGCGTCAAGCTCTGAACCGAGCTGTACTGTGGAGACGGCGTCTGCTAATATCTGTTGTTCCAGCCACAACTGCTTTCTGTGGCGGGCTATGGACTGGGACCTTTGCTGCCGACCCCTAGACTGCGAGAGCTACGCTGCTTAAAGCAACCGGATCCCCCAAAAAGATCCACTCGAAGCTTTAGGAGCTTTGAGAGGCCAATCTAGCTCACATAGCCAGAATACCACATGAATGGCTGCGATCCCTAGACGAGCCCTTCCGGACAACTCCATGGGCTTTGCGACAACGCAGCAGCATGTCGGGATGGGATGATCGATCAGGACGATACTTCATTTTAAAGCTCGAGGGTTCCAATCCGACCGCCGACTTCTCCTTCGCGAGAAAGTGGCCCTTCGGCCAGACGCTTCTGGATTGTCGCGAGGATCTCTTCATATCCTTCACCTGGAGAACGTTCAACCTGCACTACCAGACGACTGTGGAAGGCTCGAAGAGCATCAAATTTAGCGGAAGCAATTTTGTACGCCGAGCTTTCTGCATCCCCTCTACCTCCAACCAAGTTTCCAAAAGTCTTTGGTGGGGCCATTAGATATGGTAGCGCGTACTCGAGAGCTGGAGGTGCAAGTAGTGCTAGGTGGCCACTTTCTGGGGTTGCAATCCCAGATGGCAGGGGGACATCGGATTCTGTAGACCAATTTGCAGTAATCACTGATGCCAGAACGTTGATAGCGCCCAATGCCAGATCTTTGAGTGCCACTGTATCTGCGTGCGAAGCAATGTCACGCCAGAAGCTTGGATTAGAAGCGAGATAGGTGAAGTACAGAGCTCGTGCCTCAGCTGCCTCTTGCCGTATGGAAGGGTCTTGCTGTGCCGATTCGCCAGGGCGGAAAATGACATCTCGATCGGGACCATGGAAGACTGCTGCCAGTGTGTTGAGCACGTCTGGGTTTGTTGCACGAGACGGCAATTGCAGAAGTGGACTCGGTCGCCCTCCACCAGAGGATGCAAGCAATGACTTGCGCGGCAGACTTGCCAGAACATGCAGATCATGCTTCGGTGACTCTTGATGCGCCCATTTCCCTGGTGAGAGATCAAACGCTTCGCGCATGCGATCGCTGACCTGCTGTGGCATCTGACTTGAGAGGAAGTGTTCAGGGTAGTTCGAAGCATATGTAGCGATGTAGTTGGCGGCTGGACCGTACAGGAACATCGACTCCAAAGGATCAACCCGTGCTCCTGGAAGTTGCAGATAGATGCCTGCAGTCTTTTCATGCACGCCCTGAGCAACGAGATACCTCAAGCCATGCGATTCTGTGGCTGACCCGGGCAAGCGTATTGTAGGCTTGGTAGCATCAAGCAGATCTGAGTAGAAGTCGACCAAGCAGCGATACATGAGGATGTCGTCACTAGTGTCGACCATGTGTAAGGCGGCAAAGTCAAGCAAGCCGCCTTTGACCTTGAACTCTGCTTCTACGTCCTCATGGTGAGTGTGTGACACTGCATTCCAATCCATGGTAGCCACCTTCGGCAGCCACTCCATCAATCTAGCTTGTGCGATGGTGCGCATGCTCTTCCCCAGCTTGACTGGGTCAGAGTCGGACAGTGCGCAGGCCCAGAAGAACACACGGTATACGTTTCGATCGCCGAAGATGCGCTTCCACACCAGACCTTGGCCTCCCCCAGGCAGATGAGAGTCAATATCGTCCCGAATCTCCTGGTCAACTTTCAGGAGATCAAGCAGCAATTGCGAGCATTGTGTAGCTATGCCAGTGTCATCTGTGCACAGCCATAGCCGCACCAGAGCTTGCATGGTGTCCAGCATTCCAGCCACGGATGCCGCATCAGCAGCGTTTGCGGTGGCTTTTTGCAAGATGGCTAGGATGAGGCGGTTGTACGAAGACATCTGTTCGCCCGCCAGCAAGCCATCCGTGAAGGGGATATTGCCAAGACTGAGGATATCGCCATAGCTGTAGGCCTTGATCAAGCGCAGAAGCAGATTCCCTGCTGGACCGGGATCCTGCCGCAATGTTGGTAGAAGTGCGGACAATGACACGACAAGAGGCAGTTTTTGCTCTGCAGACAGTGTCTCTGCCAAGACCAGCTCGGCTTCCTCGAACAGTCTTTGATCCAGAGCCACCGATGGATCATTGGCAGTTGCTTGGATGTTGCCTTGCACACGCTCGAGGAGGGACTGCGGCATTTGGAGGTGATTCTGATGTAGTCTCCTGGTATGTCTCTATTGTGTTGGCGGAAGCCGAATCTCGCGGCGTGCTGTGGCGATGGGCAGGCAAGCGCGCCATCCCTGTCAAAGCACGGACCACGTCCTCCAGCCACCTTCCCTTCACTGACCTGACCTCGCCGTCGTCCTGCACTTCATATCGCTACATGCATCAAGCACAACTTCATGTCACCGCAACATTGGCGCAGGATCGTCGAGAGAAATGGCACAAGTAACGCAGAATGGCAATGCAGACCAGCCGCACTGGGACGCGGCACGATACGAGGAAGCGCTGGCGCATTTGGCGAGACTGCAAGAACTGGTAGAAAGAACGACATGGATGTCGAATGAACTCGTCTAACAACTCCCAGATTGACGGCATGAAATCTGATATACCGTCTATTGTGGCACCCATTCAAAGGCAAACCCGAGACAAAACCCAGCTGTTTGTGGAAACCAAGACGGCAGCGGTGCAAGCAGTCACACATGTCCAGCAACTCCGGACCACGTGGAACTCGGAGCAAACACAGGAGATCTTCGCGAAGAGCAAGGAAAGCTTTGCTAAAGACGGCGACCTGAGCAAAGCACGAGACGTTCCTCGATGGGGCTGGGCTCCCCGGGACTGAACGCTGTCCCGGGTCTGCCAACATGCATGCGCATCTAAATCGAATCTTGTTCCACCTCTTGAGGCGGCAAACGACATCATGAATCTTGGACCAAACCTCCGGCAGCAATCTATCAAGCCCTCAGCGGCCTTCCACCAGGCCACCTCCCAGCCGACCCATCAACCCTCGAATGCCAATGACCATCCCACTCCCGCCAAGAAGTCGGCACACCCCATTTCTTCCTCTCACCATGCGGCCAACGCGCATCACTCCAGAAATTCCACCGATTGTGTCCGTTGATATGACTATACCGTCGTGTGCGGTGATTGTACACCTCATCTCTCTCCCTTCTAGCCCAAGGCGTGGAACCGAGATTACCGGGCGGATACCAATCCATATCCTCAGCAGCACCTCTCCAATTCGAATCCAACCATCCGAGCCCAGTACTATCCCAATTACTCCAATGGTTCCGACTTGGCACTTCGCGATGCAGAGTCCTACGATCTCCATTCGCAACCACGAAGAGATCTGGTCCCTCGCCCGTCAGAGCGTCTTTGATGCGACCGAATGTTCCGTGTCGAGCGCCGTCGGAGGGTCGAGCCCAGTATTTCTTGGATTTGAACTTTGAGAGTTTGCGGCCGCCTTGATACCAGCCTCGACCATTGATTCCGCCGGGACGCCAGTGAACGAAAGGTTCTTCTCGAGGTGCACCGCGGCGATTACCAAATTCTGGGAGGAAAGGGAAGCCGTTGTATGCCGCGTTCTGGTAATCTTCGCCAAAGGGAGCATTGTGCCACCACGCTGCCATGTTCTGGTTGAGGATGAGATGGAGCTGGATGGTGTCGCTGCTGCCAGAGTGGTGTTTGAGGCGTGCATCTATATTGTCAACTCATCCAGATCTAGCAATCTGAAGTCATTTTGTCACAAACACACAATCAATCTTGCCTCCTTCCTCCTTATTGTTCCGGACAAACACGAATCCGTTTCAGAAGAGGACCAAGTTTGTACGCTGCCATGTTTGTAAGAGAGTTGACAATCGATACCTCAGCCGGTCTATCGGTACTAAATTATCGCACCGGTCGAGGAACATATTAGTCGCAGCATACCTGGTTATATTCATAGCAATCCATCCCATCCCTTTCCTCCCTCCTCTCCCCAACATATCAATTCCCACCAACTCCACCCCTACTTACTCACTAACAAACGGACACTCCCCCTCCTCAATCTCCTGCACCAACCAAACCGCCAAACTCTTCCTCCTCAACCCCATGCCCGCCCCCATATCCACATACTTCGCTTTCGTACTCTTCGCCCCCCCATTCGTCAAAAAACACCGTCCACGCCACCTCCCCTTGATCCAAAGAACTGGTCGCAGCCCCAATCCCCCGAACTTCATCCCCAAGCCCCCTCGGAAAAATTTCCGAACAATGTTCGCGAAGATGAACCACCTAACAAGGATAGACGGGTGTCGGATAGTGCTGATGCGAAAGACGTCGTGTCCGAAACAAGGAACGATATAAGGGATGTTTTGTCAGCTGTAGACGGCAGTCGCCGAAGAAGGGCGCGGCAGACACGCAACCACGCAATGGTATTTTTTGGCGGGACCTTTCACGAAGCGGAACCGAACTCACACGAAGAGTATCTTCTGGTCGAACACGGATATGATCTTGTTGAACGATATAGACATCAGCGCTCTCAGAAATGATCTATCAAGAATGAATGCCAACGCTAATTTGCAATCGCTTCTCCTATAGCTTTTGCCAAACGCCGATACTCCAAGAGCAACTCTTCCACTTCACCAATCTTCAATTGATTGGCACTTTCCACATTCAGGAATCTGTTCTTTGGCGGTTTGATCTTCCTCAGCTCTGCTAGAGCTTCTCTTGCGTTCAAGTCGTCACCCTCGTCAACAGCCAGCGAAGAATCCCTGCTTCGAGTTCTCTCAAGCTTCGATGTCGTTGAGAGCTGATCTGAGCCTTTGCGAAGAGGTCGTGGTGACTCCACAATATCGCCAAGTCGGCCTTGCGCCATTCCTGCTGGCACGACATCAGATTTGGTCTCAAGTAGCGACGGTGGAGGTTGTGCTGAGCTGTTCACACTTCCAGAACGGCCAAAACGCGGGACAAAAGCGGGCACTGTGAATTTGTTTAGATTGGTCAAAGGGTTGATAGAGTTGAACAAGCCTGATGGTGCAGGTGGTCCGTTGCTTGGCTTGTCTTTGACCGCAGCATTTCCGGCAGCAGTTTTGGAGTCGAAAGTGACAGCACGTCTGCCACTGCCCCCTGATCGTGTGCTGTCCGCACTGCGCTCACGTATCTGCTTCTTGCCACCAAGCAGTTCCAGCATCTTGTTGCTTTCTGTTGACTTGCCACCAGCAGCGAGCGGATCCTCGAGGCCAGGACTGCTACGCCCAGATATCGACAAAGAGTCTGCATCATCGTCTGGACCGCTGGTGGGTGAGACTAGCTTCCTCGCATCCTCGAGTGTCTTGGGCAGCGCGGCGTTGGTCTCACCCGCCTCCTCCTTGAATCTTCCAAGCAGAAACTGCAGACTGTTGTCCAAGGTCCCATTAACGGAGTCGTAGAATTTGTCTGCTGCGTTCAAGAAGTTGTCCCGCCCGGCCTCGATGCGTTCCGCCTGCTGAGCCATGAGCGCCGAGAGGCTACGCTGATGCATCTGCGGGCGGGAAGGCGCACTTGGCTTGCCTGAAGATGACAGCGCTTTGCTTGCAGGGGTTGAGGTATTGCTCTGATCTGAAGCAGTAGCTGAGGCTGCAGTAACACTCGGTGTCGAGGTCTCTGCGCTGGTGGGCATGGGTACAGAAGGTGGCGTCTCTGTTTTAGGCGTTGATGGCTGGCTTGACAGCTTCGCGTCTGGGCCTTGCGGAAGCTCGTCAGCTCGTAGCGAGGACAAGTCGACTGTTTCCAAGAAAGAAATGGCGGCTTCCAGATTGACAAGACAGTATGCAGCCTCGCCGTCCACCTTGCTTGCCGTTCGGAATCGCTGGATGAATGCGAGATTGCTCACGGCATTCACCCCTTGCGCAGGACAAGTGATCAGAGTGTAGATCAATGTTGGCAAGATCTCATCTGCTGATGACGATGACGGAAACAATTGCGACAATGTCTCAACGATGGCTTTGTGCGCAGCCGTTAGATGCTGCAGCTTGCCGAGGGGGTAGTGTTCCCCATCCATCTTCAGCAAGGCATCTCTCGCAGCAGATAGCGCGTGATTGATCTCATCTTCCTTCTCTTCCGCAGTGCGTCGGATTTCGGCAGTGGCAGGATCATTGTCCATATGCAGCTCTTTCAAACCAATGCCCACCAAGGCCAGCGATTGCGTGCGCGAACGCAACTTCTCATCACGCGCCTCATCTTCGGCACTCCGATGCTGCCAGATCTTGTCATAGACCTTCTCACATACGCCTCGCTCAACAGCCTCTTCTAGCGCCAGTCTCTTCTGTTCCAATAATCGTCTCGCCTTCTTCCTGTCTGCCACCTCGTCGGCAGTCAGCATTTCTGCGTGACTGAAGAGGCTATCCGTGGACACCTTCTTGGCTCCTGACCCTGCTCTGGATCTTCCCTTCGTCTTGGACTGTGCTGGCGGGGTCTGGCGGCCAATCTTCGAGGCCAGTGTAGCGATGTGGGTAGCGACATGACTTGCGGCGCGCTCATAAAATTCCTGAAACAGCTCCGAGACCTGCTCGGCGGTCAATGGCTTGTCATGCACCTTGGCTGATAAGCGGTCCAAGAAGCGCTCACAGAGACTCCTAATCTCAATGGGCAGCTCATCGAATGTGCTCGGGACGTTGATTCCGGGTGTGGCGGCAGTGCTGTTGGACTCGCTGTGCTCCTCCTCTTCATTGTTCTCAAACACATCTGCCATGGCTCGTTGTCCGCCGGTTTCGGATGAGGTGGGAATGTGTCTCGCTTCGGGGATGGAGGGTATGCCGGCTTCTTGTAGAGTGCTCGCTCGCTTCTTGGGAGACGGGGCTTGCGGGAAGGGGGAGGGAGGCTGATGGGCCATGCTTGTGAAGGAGCGCGGTAGATGGAGGGGCTGAGGCGTGGTGGTGGCAGAGGCAGAGGCAGACATGGCAGGCGATGTCTGAGTTTCGGCCATCCTGGCTGCAGTAATATAGGGAGAAATAGCTCAGGCTCAGGTAGCTTAGTAGCTCTCAGGAGTGATAACGAGTGTCAGACGGCGCGGTGCAGATACAAGGCAGACGGATCTCTAAGCAAATATCATGCCGCATGGACCGACGTGATCCGGGCAGCGAGCGAGTGAGGATTGGGGTGTGTTTCGTGGATGCACGAGGACGTGATGGCGCTGAACGAGGGCGGTGCTGATGCGGCGGGCAAGTGAGAAGCTGCTCACTCTCACTGACAAACAAGTCGACTTGAGACAGTCAGAGGCCCGGCCAGGCCAGGCATCCAGGATCTCAGCAGGTCACTCAGCAAGCAGAGTCAGAGTGATGAGTGTCGGTGTCTCAGAGGTGCCTGTCGGTCCGCAAAGAGGATCGCCTGGCCTGTGAAGAGGCAGAGGCAGATGCGCGCTACGACGGACCCTTCCGATGATCCCGGTGCCGCCCCGGCCGATCGCTGTGCGTCACTGCGGGCTCGAGCGCGGCGTGCACCTCGTCTCGTGATGCGTGGTGAGTGTCGATGATCGCTTGTCCGTCGACGTCGACGCGCTGTGTGTGAGGCAACAAGATCGACTGATGCCATGTCTTCGCGCCTACAAATCTCCTGCAGTCCGTCCAGCGAGTATCCTTGCCATGCTGTGCAACGGTAGCCTTCTGCTTGTCGTTCTGTTGTCCTTTGCATCTCAACATGCCCACGCAGCCAGGCCGAGAGAGCTGCGACAACAGCACAACCCCAGCATCCTCCTACCGCCAGGCACGCCTGATATTGACGGGCATGGGAATAGCCAAGTATCCTCAGATCTGGGAGAGCGTGTATTCGTAGCTCACCCCACTCTTGATAGAACGCTCGGGGCCAGACAGCTAACAAACACCACAGAAGCTCCGCCACATCTACCACCATGGCATACAGAAATACCCCAATCTCCACCGCTATGTCGACGTAAAGCCCGATGCGAAGCTACAGGTCCGGACCTTGGATGGAGAGCTGGAAGATGCGCCGACCGATTTGCGGGCACGAGCAACATGGTTGAACATTCAGCGCATGGAGGACAGGAACAAGTCGGCTATCGACCATCTATTGAAGCATTCCGAGTATTTTGGAAGAGCAGCACATCTGCCGGCTGATGCATGGACGGTCGACGAAATCGAAGCACCAAATGTCACAGACAAGAGCACGGTCCTGACATTCGCAAAGATGGCTGCCAACGCATACATCCAATCACGCCTGGACGGAGAGTGGCAGCCTGTCAAAGGAGGCTTCAACTATACCGACGACTTTGGCTGGGAATCCGACGGTCTCCGCGGGCATATCTTCGCTGATGAGACCAATGCCACCGTCGTCATCGGTTTGAAAGGTACGTCAACGTGGCTGGACGATTTGCCATGTCTCATGCTATTCTGGTGTGCGAGCAGGACTGACCGTATCCAAGGAACTTCCCCCGCTATCTTTGATGGTGCCGATACGACAGGAAACGACAAGCTGAACGACAATCTGTTTGGCTCATGCTGCTGTGGCCAAGGCGGCCAGTACTTGTGGAAGCAGGTTTGCGACTGCATGACTTCCACCTATACCTGCAACTCGACGTGCTTGGTGCAATCGTTGAGGCAGAAGAGTCACTACTATTGGGCTGTGCGAGACCTCTATCATAATGTGACAGAACGCTATCCAAACTCGTCCGTCTGGCTGTCAGGCCACTCACTTGGAGGCGTGGTTAGCTCCATGCTTGGCCTGACGTATGGCCTGCCGACCATGACTTTCGAAGCATTCCCAGATGCAATGGCTGCTCAGCGTCTTGGACTACCAACGCCACCTGGCTACAAGATCGGATCACACCAAGCACGAGTAAAGACTGGTGTCTATCACTATGGCCACACTGCTGACCCCATCTATATGGGCACGTGCAACGGCGCATCGGCCTTCTGCACGCTTGCCGGATACGCCTTCCAGGGTGTCTGTCACACGGGCCAGACGTGCATATACGACACCGTTGGCGATCTTGGCTGGCGAGTCGGTATCGGCACACACAAGATTGTCAATGTGATCAAGGACGTGCTCGAGAAGTACGAGACTGTACCCGCTTGCGAGGAAGACAATGAATGCGTGGATTGCTATAATTGGAAATTCTACGAGAGCAACGGGACAGAAACCACCACAAGTAGCAAAACTTCGTCGACTGCTACGCGAACGCGGACCGAGACTTGCAAGACACCCGGTTGGTGGGGCTGCTTGGATGAAACCACGACTACGACAACATCAACCACGAGCACATCGTCGACTTCTACGTCCACGTGCAAAACTCCTGGCTGGTTTGGATGCAACGATCCAGTCACAACGACTGATACAAACACAATTACTACTACCAGTGCAAAACCTGGGCACACGATTACTACGATTACAACGACATCGACATCGACATCGACTTGCAAGACACCCGGCTGGTTTGGCTGCGATGATGTTACTACAACAAAATCTGCGACCCCGAAAAGCTCGTCTAGTCTCCCAATTGCAACAAGCACCACAACTGCCGATGACTGCACAAGCCGAGAGTGGTTCGGTTTGATCTGCGTTGATCCTTCTCCTACAACAAGTTCTGCCTCAACAGCAACTCCAACGACAAATTCTGGCTCAACACCAACGCCAACGCACCTTCCGACCGCGAGACGGAAACACTGCGCGAGTCGACAATGGTACGGCACTTGCAAGGAGTGGCGATTCGAAGATGTTTTTGAGCCTAAATGGGATCTTTAGTGATGACCCGAAATGTGTACATGACCTATGAAAGCGGCGTTATGGATACGATTGATAGGAGACGGCATTGCATGGAAGGAGCAATTGATGACAGATAGAACGATACCACATGTCGCACAATGCAACATCAAATCTGCAGAAACGCGTGTTCACGCGCTCCAGATCCGAAATCGCGTGATCTGCAATCTCACATCTGCTTCTTCTGCTCGAATTCACAAACACCAGCTCACGCGTGGAATGTGTTGGTATCCTGTGCTAAATGATCACAGCTGGGACATGCAGCCCCTCACCTACTCTAATCATGTTCCATGGGCTCAAACACTTCTCGCCGAATCTGTGCCAGCCCAGCTACGCCTCGAACAAGGATTGAGATCCTCGCTAGAGGATCGCCACATACAATGTACGCCACGTCCATCTTCAGCTATAAATACGGCGGCCACTCCTCGGCGATAGGAAAGATATCCTCACACTGACAATCATTTTGTACCTGGGCTAAGCAAGGACGGATGGACGACATGCTGGAATTCATCCCCAAGTCTCGATGTACAATGGGTTCGGAAATGATGTTGTAGCGCAGAAACAAGTCTGATCGGATTCGCAGGGAGTGAAGGATGATTCAAGTCCCAACATGCAACTCCTTCGGCAAAAACGTGCGTGTTCAGAAACGGGTTCGCTCCCAAGCGATGAAGGACTTTCGGGAGGTCAGATTCTCTGCTGCGATCGACATGAAGACTAGCCAACTCGGACATCCTACTTTCTGGCGCTGAAACTGGATTGCAAGCTATCTGAAATGTGGTCTAGTATCTCGCAAGATGGAGATTAAGCCCCTATGGCCCGGGACCAAAATCCAACGTGACGCTCGTATGTCAACAATCCATCAAACAATACTACGAATGACATGCGCAAGAGGCGGGGTGGTGTAGAGAGGTTACGCAGGCTATTGAAAGTGACATTGATATTGGCGGGCATGGAGGTGGAGTTAGAGGAAGTAGGCTGAAGTATGCTTTATTGAACTGAAGGTATGATTTACCAGATGAGCTGGGTTTGCATCCGTAGGGCGAGTCCACCAGGTCCACGACTACGAGCCCAATCAGCAGTCGCAAGTGGCGATACACGCCATGACTCCTGCCTGCTTTCCCCGGGCTTCACCTACCTACCAAGGGTCGATGCGTATTCACGGGACGACAACCACACGCGTCCAGCAGTCGCAAGCTAATACGAAGCAGTCACGATGCCGATCCTCAAAGGAAGGCAGGACGGAGCGTCACATCCCCCGTGGCATTTTTGGAACATCTGAGTCCTCTCATACCACAGCAAAGCATCGATACAACAGAATCATCTACGACTCACGACTCACATTCGCACGCGCAAGATGGTGAACGCTCCGGAAAAATACCTCGCTGCCAAGAGAAGCCTTGGGTTCCTCCACGCTTCTTCGAGTTACTTCAGCAACTCCCTGGGAACGTTCTTCAGCGAAATTGACGCGATTCTATCGGATTCTATCAGAAATGATCCGTGGGCAATCCGCATGGACCCAAACCTCATGGCTGGCATACGGAGAATTACCCAGAACCACAGCCCCAGGCTCTGGTCGAGGGATCTGGAAACGAGAAGGCGGATTTTGGTAAAGGTGCGAGACTATGAGGAATATCCCGAAGAATTATACTGTGACAATGAGCAGCACATGCAGAAGTAAGACAGGTACATTCGTTGAGGCCCATCGCTAAACCATTTATAAAGGATTGAGCCTCTTATGATTGATGTGGTGGTTGGGTACCTGCTGGGGAGAAGAAATCAATATAGACACAAACAGAAGAAGACTGCGAAGTTTGCGGACTGTGTGAGGGAGCAAGAAGCTCAAGAGAGTGGCGAGGGACAAGATGAACAAGGCGAGGACGAAGACGCAAAGGAAGTCAGGAGAGGAACATCTAGCTATAAAATTGGTGGCCGGGAATTGCTTCAACAAGATGATGAGCCCGCAACCTAACGCTCAGACGGCAATCGAGACTACATTGACGACATTGGCATGGTAGACGGTCATTCTTGGGAGCACCGGAAATACATACATCATTCGCTCTGCCCGGCTTCACAGCCTCGTTCGCTATTGACAAGTCTACTTCCCTCCTCTCGATACTGGGAAGTGGCGACATGCCATGCAGCAACCACCATTCAGCATGCTATTGACCTTGCCCACTTCTCCCCTCCCTCCACTAACATAGCAGCGCATCCCATTGCAAAGTGCAGCAACATTACAACATCTCTTCCAAACGCCCCATTTCTACAATTCCAGAGAGAAACAATGAATTCTCGATCGATGCTCACCGTACAGCACATGCTCGGGTTCCGCCCTGCTGAGAACATGAAAAACAGCGATCTTCGCTCGCATCCGACCTGGCAGAACCTGCTCCAAGACATCGCGCCCATTGAACAAGGATATAGCCATATGACGAATCAACAGTTGGAAAACTCGACGGACCTTACAATTGAGGTCAGACTGCTTGCGGACATTTATGGGCCAATCATCTGGAGCGATGACCTCGAAGACAGAGACGACCTCCTTACCAGAGCCCATGAAAATTCCCACGGCGGACTGTACCCGAGAGATCTCTACTGGTCTGATCCTCTCCACCAAGAAATGTTAGACTGAGACAAATATCTATCTCTTGTGGCGGCAACTTGGCTGACAAGTGATTTCTTGGTAGCATCATTGCTCTTCTTCGGGAACTCGTCATGAAGAAGATCATCAATAAGAGTAGACGCGAAAGACCGTCACGGAACTGGGAAATGGAGAACTTGATGCAAAGTCCTGCACCCAACGGACCAGACTGAACAGGTCTCTGGAAGAGGGGAAGGCTCATGCGTAGGTCTTCTCGTCTCTTACACGAATTTCTTAATAGAAGCAAGAATGACCAGAAAACTCCCAAAAAGACTTGGGCCCGAGATACGCCAACCGAACTAGAGCTAGGCTCTGACATGTGTTTTGCTTCAAGGCATACGAATTAGCGATTCGAGATTAGACCAGGAATCATTGTGAAGGTGATGTATCCACAGACCACAGCAAGCTTGGAGTAACAGTCTTGACTGCCTTCATTTCAATCTCCTGATTCTTCCCAGCCACCTATCGGCTCCGCGCTCGCCATTCTCACTCTCTGACTGAAATGACTCACTGACGACTTGCAATGCACGCTGCCGATGTTCTTGCAGTCGGCAAGTGGGTCTCCATCAAACGGACAGGCGTTCGCAGCGCTTGCGTGCAGTGACCAGTAGAATGTATCATCGATCGGTCGAATTGAGTCGCTGAGTATCAAACCAGGCTGAAGGCTGGATGCCAAGATATATGATGCTGCCTTCCGTCGGATGTAGTTGAAGAAAGAGAGCGATGGGTACGCTGGAACCCGTTATTGCAGGAGTTTAGTGGACGGGAAGTGGGTCTAGGTTAAGACTAGCAACACTTACGGTGCGAGTTCCTCCAGTAGCTACTTTCCGCCTAAGTATCGGTGTCGATGAACTTGTGTCGAAGCAGGCTGAGGCCTGGACGCTAGTGTAAACGCCAAGACATATGTTGATGTGCCTTCAGATTCCTTGACGAGATTGAGCGCCATGGCCTTCTTTGAAAGGACATGGAGATGGACGGACTGTGGAACATTTGCGAATGGTTCGAGCTCATGGCAGATTTCTTGCTGCCTGGCTTGACCATCATGCTGCTTCCCGTCAATATAACGCTAGCGATGGAGAGGATTCCCGTCTGATCATCATCATGAACCTTGGAACGATATCAATGACTCCGACGACTCTTCATCGATTGCCGTTCGAACCGTTCATGTAGCCTGAACTGAATCAATGGGCAGCAAGTTCGTGGCGGTGAGGGTACCCGCTACTTTCGTGGCGTCTTGATTCCGTGCCATCATGCTTTCTAGCTGTATAGCAGTCGGGCCGTAGGTGTTTTCTTCCATGTTCATTGGACAGCTGCTAGATTCATCCTGGTAAGTATGGTGGAGTCAGGGTTGGCCAGTTCTGGAATTTCTGAATCACGTCGAATGTCGGCTGTAGATATTTCTGGACGACTTCCCATGTCTGCTGTATGCGGCTTTCCGGGTCTCTGTCTGCATCGTCAAATTAATGGTCGTGTCGACATACAGTCTCCGTCTCGCTGGCTGCAGTAGCGTCTTCTGGCATATAAGTCAGACTTCGCTGCCTCGTTTTCCTTCCTCTCTCATTCACAAATGCAAGTCACGATCACCCGGTGATGGAAATCATTCGTACCTCACAATCAGCACTCGGAATTCGTGAAGACATCCCAAACATCTTTCACACTTCATTATCCCACCCATTCCTGGCCTTTCTGAATTCCGAACTGCTTGAGATTCGGCGAGCAGTCGTCGACACAGCTGACCTAGGATCATCATCGGATTTTGAACATCTGGTCGACAAGTTTATCGATCGCATCGGCATTGAATTGTACAGGAAAATCCACCCCAAGAATTGTAACGACCCGGACTGCGAAGAGGCTCACGAAGGTGCTCAGTCCTGGCCCTTTTCGGAGCCAAATCCCATCAGTGCCCGCTCTTTACTTCTGGTTGACGCCAAGACTAATACGCTGGGAGGCGCTTATCCAAAGAATCTGTTCTGGTCAGTCAAGACTCACGAGAAGAAGTAGGTGTATGTTCGTGGCTCAAGCTCAAGTTTCTCTGCTGATCTGTTCGACAGGATTCGACTCGAATTGCGTCAATTGATCTACAGCGAGTTCAATCTTGGGCTTGTGTACGACAGGATCGAGCCAAAAGAGCGTCAGGCTCCTGCTGTGAGGGACATCGACAGCGACCACGAGAAAGAAGATACGCTTGACAGTTCTCGTGTCAGTAGCAGCGATAAGAGCGAACATAGCACCGCCATGCAAGCAACCTTCCAGCGGACGATCGCGGATGGTAGGCGTGTGAACATCGAAAGGGACGTTGGTCCTCAGCAGCAATCAGTCACGAGGAATTCAGGAGCTGTGCACAGTCCACTGGCAGTGGATGCAACGTTCCAGGTCAGCGGTACACCGGGTCTGCTTTTGCCGCCACAGTCCAGTTCTCCGCCCGCGGGTTTGCCTCGTGGACAGATTAACGAACAAGGTCGGCATCGACCAACTCCAGCTCCTGCTTTCTCACCACAGGTATGTCCGTGACTTTGGGATTAGCAGTTCATTTGCTGACAAGTATTAGCATGGCTTGGGCATCGCGGAACAGTACGACCATTTCCCAGACCACGCTCGATCCAATGGCGAGCGCGACTCAGCTGCGATGCTCACAGAAGCGAAGGCAAATCCCAAGACCGAGTCGACGCTTGGCCGTGGGAAAGCAGGAGGCTCAGCGGAAATAATCGACCTCACTGATGATGACCCAATTGAGCCGCGCATAGCTCCAGCGCAAGCATCGACGTTCGTCACTCCATTGGAAGACAATCGTCACATCAAACAAGAGGCAGACGAAGTTCAAGCCGGTGACTCCACATCAGAGCCATCACGAATGGCCAACTTGGGATATCAGTCGAAGAAGGAAGGTAAACGTCCCGCCGAAAGCGCTGGTGAACGACACTCAAAGCGATCCAAGACTGTAGCCAAAATCGACTCCACGAGTCTCGACCAGGATGACGACGAGGAGATCATCGACAGCAAGCCTCAGAATTCCGGATCAGAGCCTCCAACTGAGTCTCTCCGATCATATGCAGCGTCTGGTCGAGATGAGTTCAATGGCTCGTATTCGGAAGACAGCGCACGCAAGGATATTCCGGAGCCCACGCCTAGAGTTCACGGGCAGGTGAGCGGTCCGTCTGCTCCGAACGAACCTGCTCCATCAAATTTACTTTCCTTGACTGCGCCAAGCGAAAACGAAGGAGTAGTGCCACTACCACGCACAGCCCCACCAGTCAGTGATTCAGACAATAAGACGATAGAACGAGCGATATCGTCAACTCCGTCGAATAATAGCCCAGTCGCAACATCCGATCCCTTCGAAGGCGTTGTGGCCAAGGCGTATTTCCAAGTTGACTATCCGGATGTAGTCTATCTGGCGGGATGCACGGCAGCAGCCGACTTGTTTGCTCAACTCGAAGAGATCCAGAAATCACACCATAAGCTCAGCAAGTGGACGATGTGTGCGATCCGAGTCAGAATTGGATCCGCGGAGCCGTTCAGGATCGGGCACTCCAGGCATGTCAATCGTGGACTTGGGGCTTTGATGAAGGCTGTGGAGAAGAAGGGTGATGATGAGCAGGTCTTGTTGGAATTTGAATGGGATAAGAGTACATGATGACTGATGATGATGATGATGATGAACGATTCTCCAGGTGTTTGTCGATTGAAGTTCGTCGGCCCCGAAGGCCGAGTTTCAGAGTGCTGCGACAGTGACACCCGGTTGCGGAGATGAAACGCATCGTAGTGGACATGGGTGGCCAAATTGCCGTAGCCTGGGATAGATTGATTACATCCTCTTTCGAGAAGCAAATGCTAGCGTCTGCCGCCCGAGTGGTAGATTTAACTTAACCCAGGCATAATCTGCTTCTTCTCCTATTAGCTAAAACAGCAGTCGCAGGGCTCGAGGCTTTTCTATAGGGTGTAGATAAATAGCACCGAAACTCTACTGTACATTTCGTCGCCGGTAGATCTTCAGCGACCTCACTTCTGGACTGCGGCATTGCACATGTGTCAAATTTAAGAGCCTCGCATGATTCCCAGGCCTCACGTTCTATCGGTAGTATGCATAGACCTCCAAAGCTGGTGGTCCCTTGTGGCCCGATCATGCCACGCTTCGATCGTATCACGGCGTTGAAACAGACGACGTACCTTACTGATGTATAGGGCCACGCCAGCAGGATATGCCCCGTCAAGCGTAACACGTCTCCGTGAAACAATTCAGCAGGTCTCCACAAGCTGCCCGGAAGGCGACGGCGATGCTTTCGAAAGGCAGGAGTGTCAGTCCGGAGGCAATCGAGTGATCTGAAAATGGCAAGATTGTGAAGTTGAAGCTTCACGGCGGGCGAGGCTATTCGAGAATCCACTCCGGTTATTCGAGAATCTACGGACCCAGGGCCGCTCCGGTCTCGGTAAGACTATATTGTTAGTAATCCACACTGTAGAATATCGTATGGTGACTTCTGATGCCTATGCTGGCTGCTTAGTAGAATAATGACGTAGGAAAGAAGAATTGAGTAAATAATAGACGTAGAATTCGACACTATAGCTAATCCTAACTGTTCTAGGCATACTGCCTACCTAGCAAATGAGGTTCTACGACCCTCGTATTAACGTATAGTTCCTACTATACAATCTCAGTGTAATCTAGCATACCTACTAGCGCTATAGGTACTAGTAGAGCCCTCGGAGCGGGCGGCGGCGGCGGTAGTAGCGGTAGTAGCGGTAGTAGTAGAGGCGGCGGTATTACACTCGGCTTATAACTGCGTAGAAGGGCTTAACAATATAGCTATCGACAGCGACAGCGAGGTTAGGTTAAAACAGCGATTAAAACAGCGGTAACGGTAAGGTCTAGCGGTAGAGAATATAACTAACAAATTTGCCTTAGGCCTCCTCCGTAATCGGATGCCCGGATTCTCGAATAACCGGAGTGGATTCTCGAATAGTCTCGCCCCTTTACGACCGAAATTATTTTCGAGTGCATATACACCTCGATTAAGCGAGATAGCGGACGGCGGTGATCCCTGAAAACGGGATCTAACTAGTCAAAGCTAGCGTACTGCCCAAAGGAATTATCTGTACCTTTAAAAAGTTCACGTCTAACGCTTTCAAGCTAGCTGCCGTTTACGGGGATTACCCCCGTCCGCCATCTCGCTTAATCGGGGTGTATGTAAGATTGGGCATGCCATACGTAGACAAAGACGGTCGGTGAGCGACTTCGATTGGCTCAGGGTTGGCTTATTGTCGGCAGCTTTATGCCGGTCGTATTGCAGGCCGGGGAAAGGCAGGCCCTACCAATATTGCCATTTTGCGTGCGTGCCTGTGAATTGCAATATACTGTTGCAACTTGCCTGTCCCACAGCGGTCAATGAAGGGATAGGGAGGCAGCCAACTTCGTAGCGGCCGCTGTTGACGTCCTCAGGCGTGCAATGAATTGATGCCAGGGCAGCTCGAGCACGATATGATCTCCATTAATAGTTCACATGCGGCTGCGCTCATTCTGGGAGGCCAAAGTTCTGCCAGGCCAGGGTCACCGTGAGCATTATTGCGAGGGCGCAGCGCATGTCAGGACTCAGGAGAGGAGGCCAGGGAAAGAGTTCCCAGAAAAGCGCAAAGCAGGAGGCTCAGCCCTTACGAGTTACCACGGGCGTGGTTTCAGCGGCTGACGACTGCGTCCGTGCGGGCCCACCAGCGGCAGGTGAATGATTGGCCGGCCTCTTTGTCTCCTGTCCCTGACCTGGCGATGCCTCCTGCTGCACGTGATATCTAGGCAGTCTTTAATGCGCAGCTTCGCCCCAGCTTCGGGCCAGTTGTCCTCAGCGCTCGCCGCTCGCCGCTCGCCAGTCCATCCAAGTAGAACTGACGCCCACGCCCACGTCGTTCTAGCCAAGTCAATATGGAAACCATCTCGACTGTCGCGCCCGCGCCCTCCACCACCTCCATCATTTCTTTGGACACCGCATCACACACCTTGAAAATGGAAGACTTCCATCAGGCATCGGTACGTCCTTCGTCCCTTTCATGCACGCGCACCCCGCGCCGCGGCAGTTCTTCGCACTGTTGGCAGTGCGCCTTGCCTTGCCGCCGAGTCACCACTGACCACGCTCTCCAGACATCACCAGCGCCGTCAGACACCATGACCGCAAAATACCAGTCATCGTCACCGCCGCCGCGTGTCATTGAAGTCCAATCAAGACCGGCGAAGAAGCGGAAATCATGGGGCCAAGAACTCCCTGAACCCAAAACCACACTCCCTCCCAGGAAGCGGGCCAAGACCGAGGACGAGAAAGAGCAGCGCCGAATTGAACGCATCAAGCGCAACCGGGCAGCAGCTCACAACTCGAGAGAGCGAAAGCGTCAGGAAACTGAGGTTCTCGCTGTCGCCCTCGCCAAGGCGAACGCCGAACTCGAAGCCTACCGCAGACTCCACGGACCACTCCCAGAAGGCACTGTCCTTCCAGAAGTCAAGCTCGTCACTGAGGCGACCGACGTCGTCGCCGCCGCAGATACACCTGCGCCATCGCTCGTCGAGTCCCACGGCTCACAAGCAGATGTGCCAAGCCCCGGCTCTCCGGCTGACGACATCTTCCATCTCCAACAACAACCCCTCATCAAGCAAGAGCAACCTCTCGATAATTGGCTCGAGCTTCCACAAGCATTTGACAACCTTGACGAGAAGTCGTCTGTGTTCACGTCGCTTGGGCAGACACAAGATTCTGCAGAAATCTTGTGTGACTTGCAGTGTCCGCCCAGCAGCAAGAACCACAGTTCGACTTCTCTGCTCACTCAATGTTTGGCCACCCTACTACTCGCCATGCTGAATTCCTACCTCCGACAATGTCAACTCAGCATTTTGATGGCTCTATGGACCGATTCGCCTTCACGGATGGAGGCTCTGATCCGTCTCTCCAAGACTCGCTCTTCTCTTTCGACTCTCTCATCGAGGACGCCGCGTTCGCGGTCGACACATAGGCGTCAGGCGCGGCATACAGCTGCGACGGTCTGTGCGTCCCGCAACATTGGTGTCTACCGATTAGAGACGGAGATTGAAGACGGGGCCGCGAGAGACGCACAGGCCGGCCAGACACAGGCGTTACAGGAAAAAGGGGCATCAACGGATATGGCGTATGATTTGGGGTATAAGGATGACGATGGCGATGGCGTTGGTGGGACGGAACTCACTTGACTGAGTTGTGTATTACCTTGGGACTCCGGGATACTAGATATTCTTGAACAGTCTTTGTATCACTATACTCTCATGCTTCTCCCTCTCATGTCTCCTTCTCTGAAACGCGTTGGCTGCAATGAAATCGTGAAATGAATGTCGGGCATACACGAGGCGGAGCGCCAAGCCCCAACCAGCACTGAATTTCTGACCTCCCGGTTCACCACAGCACATGTCTCCACTCTCCACTCTGCACATTCATTGACGCCTAATGCATCGCAACGCGGTCGCCTTGAGGTCAGTCACCAACAACACAGTCACCAACAACATTCCCGGCAACTGACATCACTTCGTGCCAAACGGCCTCATCTGTGAGGACGCGCAGGCAGTAATGATTCATAAGAACCGAGTGACAGCCTCCGCCGCCCGAGTGGTAGATTTTAACTCAATACAGGCATAATTTGCTTCTCCCGTTTAGATGATAAACCAGCAGTCGCAGGGCTTGGAAGCTCTCTCACAGGGTAGGTATAATAATAGCGCCGAAACTTTGAAAGACGGCGGGTGTACATTGTTCATCCTCATCCGACAATCATGACTCTTGTTTCTACAGCACTAGCGAGACCAAGGCTGCAACAACGACCACAACAGCCGAAATTCCATCCGTGGCCGCTTTGCCTGTATACGGCTCCACTCCTGTTCCTGCAGTCGAGTTGCCTAGAGCCAGTGTCCAATTGCCACCGCTGACGCCGTATGCTCCACCATTTTCAAGCGTCATCGTAGTCCCATTCTCATTTCGTAGCGCACCCTGTACACCAGGTAAACTAACCCTTCCACTCGTGCCCGGCGGCGCAGAGAATTTGAATCCGGTGATAGAGCCCGCAGACGAGGCGTTGACTTGCGACGAAAAGAATCCAAGACTGGTACTGAAACCCGCATCGACGAATTTCAGATCTCCTAATCTTGGACTTATTTCCCAAGTCGCGCCTCCTGCGCTGAGGAGGTGGATACCTGCGATGTGGAAGGTGAGAGTTGAAGTCGGACCCGTAGCCCAGCCGTGAGCGTGAGAGATTCTGGGATCGTTGGTGTATGGTGCGTAATGTAGTCTTCCGTCGGAGGAGTAGCCTTCGATGAATGTGGAGTTTGTCATGCGGGGGTCGTCCATCATGAAACCCCATTCTAGACGTACGAGGGCGAGGGCGGCGCTGACGTTGCCGGCGAGGAGGTGGGCTTGGAGTTCGAAGCCTGAGATGAAGGGGGAGATGGCGTCGGTTGCTTCTACGGCTGGTGCTCCGTAGGGACCCCAGCGGGCGGCGAGGGCGGAGGAAATTCGGGAGGCTTTGGAGGCGGAGTCGGTGAGGTTGGAGACTACGGCCCAGGAGTTTCCGTCTTGTGGCATGAGGGTTGTGGTTTCGTTGTCGTGGTAGAGACCGGCGGTTTCGTTCCATAGGAGGGTGTTGGCCGAGGCTTTGATCGTTGCGGCGCGTTCTGCCCAGGAGTCGAGGAGAGATTGCTCTTCGCCAATGGCTTCGCCGAGCATGATTCCTTGGTTTAAAGTGTTGTAGAGTATGGAGTTGGCTTCGATGTTGTGCCCACCCATGCCGGAACGGAGCCAGTCAGCTCGCGAGGTGACGTTGGCTAGGCCGCTGGAGTCGATGAAGGAGAGGGAGAAGTTCATGGCCAGTTTCCATTGATCCCATTTTCCTTGCAGGTATGACAACTCATTGGAGTAGAGATAGTAGTCAGCCACTCCAATCAATGAGTACAGATGATAGGTGAATGACAGGATTGCGGGGAATGGTCTTCCTGAATATGGCAGCTGTCCTGTGGTCGTGTTCTGCACGGCGAATAGCGAGTCGAGGGCGTTTGCGACTGAAACCAAGTCGCTAAATGACACGATCATGCCAGGGACCGCAATAGCCATATCGCCAGCCCACACGAGCCGATCTCGCTTGGCTCCATCGACCAAGGTGGAAGTGCCGTTCGTGATGGTGTAGTTGTAGTACCACGGATTTGGCGGTGTCTCATCACCAAGTTGAGACGATCTCACCTTGTCGAGCAGGGTTAAGGAATCTCCATGATGTGGGTCGATCTGAGAATGATCAGGTTCATGGTTAAGGACATATTTACGGTGGCGCTTGGTTGTTGGGGTCTCACCGTGCAGATCTGATTCGTGTATGCACCAGCATACCAAATGCGATTGATCAGCTCATCGTCGCAGTGGAAGTAACCGGTGTAGTCTCGCATAGCATCATCCGCGATATGAGGCAGTGGAGTGTAGTAGACCGTCGCCTTGACGACCTCGAGATTGCCAGTGGTGTTGTGAACCAGAGTCATGTACCTGAAAGCGCCACGCTCGTGGTCGCGGTCGACTGTGTAATTGCCGGCCTCGTTTGGCTGGAACCACAACACCTCGTCCAGGCCAGCGTCTGCTGTTCCATCACTGCCTTCGCTGGTGACCCATAAGGAGCTCTCGCTGTACGTCAGGCCAATGAATTGGTCTGCGTCAACATCTCCGATCTGAAGCGTGACGAGGCCAGCAATGTTCTGATGAAACCCTTCCTGTCAGCTCCCTGAAAACTGTGTTCCTTGCATTGCAAGTTTATATACCTTGCCAAAGTCTAAGGTGACTGTCGAAGCTCCCTCAAACTTCGCACTTCCTGCACTTTCTCCTACCAGACTCTCGGAGCCGTCGACAGTTCCATTGACCTGCCAGATCGAGGCTGGGTACAGAGTTCTCGAGCTGGGCGCCAGGATATACTCATCATAAGCTGCAGTCACTAGTCCCACCAGACAAGCGCCTGCCAATGTCTTGAGCCACGGCATCTTGACCAGACGTACTGTATACCGACTGTCGACCACAGGAGAAAGTCAAAATACATAAAATAGACACCATACTCAGACCTTCGGCGTGCTTTGCGCCACTATTTCTGCGCCGAGATTTGCCACGAGTCGATGTTCGACCGCAGGAGGCATTCTGAGCGCGCTGGACCAGGTTGTTGAACAGAGGAAGAGGTCTCGTGCCTGGCGATCTGGGGATCTATCATCTCCGCGCGGAGAAGTGACCCACGTGGCGCGACACCTGAACTCATCTCGTTGCAAAGTTCTCCCGACGAACCTCACCGTCCTCCACTTGAGGTCAAGCGCGCTGACGACATTTGGAGCGGGCAAAAATCTTCTGCCGCGGCTGCAGAGCAATGTCAGGCGAAGAGATGCGAATTGATCCCGCTCGCGCGAATGCCCTGGTGGAGAACATTAGCCATGTCGTGCAACGGATAGATTCTGCGCGAGGGAGTCGCAAGGTACGTAGCACAGCGCATATAAGGAAAACAAGACAAAATGCAGAGTGGATATGATGGCTGATGGGAAGCCAGGTTCGTTTGATTGCAGTCTCGAAATTGAAACCCGCGACAGACATCCTTGCACTCCACCAATCCGCCGTAAAACAAGAACATTTCGGTGAGAATTACTCAGACGAGCTGACCGAAAAGGCTGGGATCCTGCCTCGGTCGGTGAAATGGCACATGATAGGCGGACTGCAGACAAACAAGTGCAAAAAGCTTGCGTCTCAAGTCCCTAATCTCTACTGCGTGAGCAGCGTAGACACGTCAAAGAAGGCGGATGAGTTGGAGAAAGGGAGGAAGACTTTGGTGGAGCAGGCGAAAGAGACTTTGTCTGAAAAGTTGAGGGTTCTGGTTCAGGTCAACACTTCTGGGGAAGAGAGTAAGAGCGGAGTAGAACCGTGCGAGGCAGCGACGCTGTGCAGACATGTGAGAGAAAAGTGTCCTAGTCTGCAGCTTGCGGGCTTGATGACCATTGGAGCGATTGCGAGGAGTCGGGAGGCTTCCAGTCCTGATGGTGTGAATGAGGATTTTTTCACGCTGCGAGAAACGCGGGATAAGGTTGCGAAGGAGCTAGGCATTGAACGGTCGGAACTGGAGCTGAGTATGGGAATGAGTCAAGATTTTGAGGCTGCCATCTCGGCTGGGAGCGATGAAGTGCGCGTTGGGACGACTATTTTTGGTGAGCGACCTGCAAAGAAAGATGCCAAGATATTGTGAGCGACAAGTCTTTGCTGCGGCGGAGCATGGTGAGACGCGGCAAGATTGACAGATGGCATGGCGGCCACATGCTCACAAGCTAATAATGCAATCAGCGCTGTGAGCATAGGGTCTCGCATAAGCATAAATGTAGAAGAATGGCTGAGTCAGGAGCCATACCGGTCGACTGGTTTGCATGGAAGATTGCCACCAATAGACGGCGTCTCAGCGACTGTCTGACAAGGCCTGCTACCTGCTCAAGGCCCGAACCTAGACCGTCATGATCGCTTCTGCTTACTTATTATTACCTGTTGCAGACATAAGATCTTGAGCTATAGCCGGAATGCAATTTGTTTGCCAACATGCTTTTCTAAACTTCCTTCGCTTGCTACTGGAGCCAATCCTTATGCCTGCCTCGAAACCAACTCCTGTCGAGGCCCTCAAGCCCCGCCGAGTGGCTGTCGACCACACAACGCCGTCTATAGTCGTCCTTAATGTGCCATTAACCTCGGACAAGTTCTCCATTACATCAATACTCATATAGAATCAATCCATTATGGCTGCTATTTGCGTGCTGGGATTTCGGTAAAAAGTTGACCCATTTCCAGGACCCACGCTCGCCAATGAGATTGCTGACTCCGCACTCTCTCAATCGACATCATCTGGACCACTGGCTGCGGCCGCTGCGCACGAAATACAGCCATTGTACATCCGAGTAAATATGCCTGCCATCGACAATGAAATCTCGGGGAAGTTGGCCTTAGTCACAGGCGCCTCAGGCGGGTAGGCATCATTCATCATTCCCTGTCGTAGCAGGACAAGCACGCTCATTGCTTGACAGAATAGGAGCTGCCTGTGCGCGTGATTTGTTCGCGAACGGAGCAAACTTGGCACTTACTTACTCCTCGAATAAAACCTCGGTCGAAACTTTGGTCCATGAGCTCTCTCAGAAGGATGGCTCGAGAAAGATCACCCCTCACCAGGCTGATATGGCATCGGACGCCGATCTAAAGCGGTTATACGACGAAATCAAGTCTGCTCATGGGAAAGGCCCGGATATCCTCATTGCGAATGCGGGATATGGAAAGCGAACGTCAAATATTCTCGACATTGAGATTGAAGAATGTCAGTGCTCCAGTGTCTCGGAAGTCGGGATTGTGCGCTGACTTTTCAAACATAGGGGACTATACGATCAATGTCAACCTGCGGGCGAGCTTTATTCTTACAAAACTCGCCGTGGCGCATATGATTGAGCAGAAATGGGGCCGTATTATCTACATCTCAAGTATCGCGGCTGGGGGCACGTCGATCAATGGATGCCATTATTCAGCTTCGAAGGCTGGAGTCCAAGGTTTGTCAAAGAATTTGGCAATCAAGTTGGGCAAGGATGGTATCACTTGTAACGATGTTGCTCCCGCCATGATCACCGGCACTGGGATGATTCCTGACGAGGAGTTCTTGAAAGGCACGCCTGGGGATGTAAAGAACATTCCCGTGGGCCGCGCAGGTACGACACAGGAGTGTGCCAATGTTGTGACGATGCTATGTCGGACTGGATACATCACAGGGCAGAGCATTTTACTCTCTGGCGGCCTCAAGTAGGACGTGGTGGCATGCGCGACCATCGATCTGGGCCATTCAGGAATCTCGTGACACCACGCAGAGCTCCGCTATTGGTCTGAACTCACGGTCATTGGCCCGAGAAATTGGGTTGAAACACAAGGCACGACTTCGGCGACGTCTGCGGAAGCTTGATGCCCAGTTTAGCAGGCGGAAGCCAGAAAGAGGCATTCTCGAGTCAGGTCAGGCTAATGCCAAAGCCTTTAGATCGTCCCTGGCTCAAGGTTAACAAATCTACGAACAAACTATAGGTATTACTTCATGACTCCCTTGACATTGAAGGAGTCTGTAGGGGCAGCATATATCGAAAGTGGCCCAACAATCACTCGGGTAGAGCGGTGAGCAAAATTGGAAGTATTTCGTGCTCTGTAAAGTTCCAGATCGAACTTGATGCACCAAAACACCATGTCGCTCCCGTCCAGAATGTGTGCCGTTGGCCTTGGAGTCTGTTGAGCTGCTGACAGAACCCAGACTTGATGGGCTGTGAGCCAAAGAATTTCCCATCCCACCATAGATTAGCTATACCTGGTGTGCCAGATTGTCCAACTTGAACCTCCACCGATGATGGCAACATGCGATCTAGAGTCTCGGAGTACCAATGGCAAGTCAAAGCGGAAGATGTCAGGAGCAGCGTCGGTGCTCGCATTGCCCAAGAATGAGTTGTGTGGTCGAAAGGTAAACGATAGCAAGACTTCGTGCCAGCTGGGATCTGTACAGGAGGGGTTCACTATCAAAATTTCCAGGGCACGTCGATTATTGCACTTTCTCACGATGAAGTCACTCGGCGGCCGCACGCTGGTATGCCTGGTTGTCTCCAACTTGGAGGATCAAAAGATGTAACCCTCGTTGAGTTAGAGAGAAAGGCAAGAGAAGGGGAGTAAGTAGGTCGCGCCAAGGAATGGACGCGGTGGCCAGTGCGCCTCACATGACATCAAAACATACCTTACTATTTTATTGAATCTCCTGTACCTTCTTCAACTAGCAAGACGCAAGACAGTTTTCACGACAAATCTTCTCATAGACATTCAGAAGGTTTTTTTCGATGCCACAGCAACATTACGAGGCGCTGCTGGCCGCGGTCGGGCCGTGAAACGACGAATTCCAGCTCGAAGCGCGTTGCTGTGCGAGCAAAAGGCCCCATACGCCACGGAAGCTCGAGAAGGGGCATAGGCGTTGCAACCACAAGGGCTGAGCGCGCGCAATATTATTAATGGACTCCATGGTGCGCACTCGTCGGAGACGGTAGGAAGTAGGGTCACAGTGGAAGGGGTGGAGAACAGCACACCCTCCGGCCTTTGAGACTTGAGCAGTCCCACGAGCGACCAAGGAGAAGTCTTACATCGGATTTCAAGGATTTGCCAATGCTCCTGGGCTGGGGCAGTACAGTAGCAAATTGGAATTGCTAGGCTGCTCCCGGAAGCCTTCGCGCTACGCTCTGTACTCCATTCACGCGGACCGTTCGGTGCTGGAGAAATGCATCACGCACTCCAAGGCTGCGAAAGTCTGCCTCATCCGCATCGGAAGCGTCTTGTCCCACGGAGCGGCAGGGAACAGGCAAGACAAATTAATTGTCTTGGCAGCAGCGGAAGTCGGTATCACCGAGTTATGCGGAGCACTGTAGCAACAAGTTACGGAGACCAGGAATGCTCCGCCTCAACAAACACCCCAAACACGCCTGCACTCCCGTGATAGGTGCCTGGTGCGCACAGGTTCACGGCATGCTCCCACACGCTTGGTGTTGTTCGGCTACTACAGTAGCTCAGCGAGTCGCGAGGCTGAGAAACTCTGCTTGGCCCCTGGTTACTGCGCGTCTCTGTACAGTCTGTACACGATACGTCAGCATTCTATTGCTCCATGCTGATGCTGACATTGTGAACGGGCGCTTCTGTGTTCCTGCATCCGTTGAAACTCAAAGCACTGGCGACGCTTGCGTCCTTGCTTCAGGACATCTCTTTTGACTTTGTCAAATCATCACTTCACCGCATTTGCCAGACAAATAACCACAGGCCTAGGAATTATGAACGACCATGTTATCATCCTTCTTTGTCTGCTAGGCGCAGGAGCAGCACTACTCGTGGGCTATGCTGTCTTCAGATACTTCATGCCCAGCGGTGGCCGCAACGACGTCGAACGTTCTGGTCCTGACGGAATGACACAAGTCCAGTACATGCGCACAGTGCGGCTTCGCAACCAGGAGCAATTGCAAGCGATGTATGCACCTCGACAGCCTAAGAGGCCGATATACACCCACGAAGAGTACAATCACCGCGCGAGCGATGCGACAAGCGACTTCTACTGAATTCCAAAACGCTCACGTCGAAGAGCGCCGAAGAGCTTCCGAACTCGTGCGGTGGCCCAGTGGGATCCCTACAAGTCATATGCTCAGCGACACAACCAGCACCCGCGAGACCTGGCAACCAGCACCTTTCAAGACGCATTATCCTGGGATGACACAACGCACTCTAGGATGCTGCACGAGCTAGCGCACAACTTAACGCGAGCACTCCCAAGCAGACGCGATCCGAGTTGTGATGAAAAGGTATTCTGGCATGCGTCCGAAGACATAGACAGTCGCTAAGGTTCCGAATCGGGCTGCTCGATTCTGCGCTCCAACTAGATCTACTTTCGAAAGACGCCATGATTCCAATATGGCTCCCCGACTTTAGATCTTTGGTTCAATGATTGTCGTCCTTCAATAGCGAAATGGTCGATACTAATGCTGCTGTTAATCACACTGAGGTCCCCTTGTCCCTGGTCTGGCTTGAGATGAAGTTGAGGCTGTGCGCTTCCACCGACGGCAAGCTCTTGCTACGGTGATCAGGACTGCCTTGTTCTAGCACAGACAGTTGAATATATTCAGCGATCTCTGGATCGGTGCTAGGCTCAGACAAGAATATGCCGACAAGAAGGTTTATATCCCCGCCAAAGCTGGTTCGCGGACAAGACCACGGGATCTTCAAGCACTCCTTCGAAATACGCACCCAACCATTCTGCGACTGTGGCTGCCACCAAGATGCGGCTCTCTGACTAACATCGAAATGCGGAGTTGTTCTTGTAAAGGCCAAGCTGCAGAGTGTGCATAGCTCTCTACCCTCGGAAAGAGATGATGACGCAGATGCAGCAATAAAATCTTAGAACGTAAAAGCATTATCACTGCAATGGACTCCTATCCGTCTCACATCTGCTCCTATCGTGTTGTCCATCGCAGATGCAGGCATCTCTAGCTTCATTTACAGGTATTAGGGTTAGCGAACGACCGAACTCGTCAGCATGTCTCCCGCCAAAAAGGACCTTTCACCTCTGTGGCTCACGCCTGAAGAGCATGAACCCATAGAACCTTTGCAATTGACAGAAGACCCCCATAGCCAGGTCGAGCAGATGAGCTCACACCACTTCTACCATTTCTATCTCAGCAAGATCACAATGGCAGAAAGAAGCACAGGCAAAGCAGAACTTCCATTGGCTCCGGCGTTGGTCTTTCTAGAACAGCACTTCGAACCGAAGAATTCTCTTCGGCCACTGAAGATGAATTCGGCGAGATGTTGACCAGAAACCGTTCAAGACTGAATTCCTATCCAGTAATGCAAGAGCCAGAAGCGATCAAAACAAGAGACGAAGGAGATGATATGGTAATATACGTCGAAGACCGTGGCACGACCGAAGCAGACGAACAAGGAGAACAGACGACCGCAAAAGATCCAGATTCAACGTACATGCACGTAGGCCCAGCAAGATTCTGGTTCGTGTTCTCGACAGTCTTACTTGGTACGCAACGCATCGCACACCTAACACCCATACTCAGCTAATCCTCCACAGGCTACTTCGTCGCCTGCTTCGACATCAACCTCATAGCGTCCATCCATCCAGTCATAACCTCGTATTTCCAAGCCTCGAAGCAAGCCTCCTGGCTCACAACAGCTTTCATGATCACAAATACCGGTTTCCAACCCCTCTGGGGAAGACTCAGCGATACCATAGGCCGAAAATCTGTGTACTTGATCGTGTTGAGTATCTTCGCGTTGACAAACTTATGGTGCGGGCTCGCGAATTCGATTGGATCTTTCATTGCCGCACGAGCAGTTTGTGGTGTTGGGGCTGGAGGACTTATGAGTATGGGGTTGGTCGTTACTAATGATTTGGTGAAGGTTGAGTATCGGGGGACTTTTGTTAGTTACATCAATGTGGCTTTTGAGGTAGGGGCTGCTTGTGGTGCAGCGTTTGGTGGTGTTATCAGTGATTCGATGTGAGTGGGGATCCAACAAGGCTGGTGTCGATGTCTTACTGATCGTATCTCTCAGCGGCTGGAGATGGACCTTCGGCATCCAAGTTCCGATCCTCGTCGTGTGCGGAATAGCTGGCTTCTTCACGATTCCCAATGGGCTCGGACCGATGCTCATACGGAAGGCTGTCAACAAGCAAGGCCAGAATGCTAGTTGGATGGCAGTCAAGAACTTTGATAGTCTCGGGTTGTCCTGCCTCGTTTTCGCCGTGGCCTTCTTCATTCTGTTCTTCAATCTTGGAGGCAACGAACTACCTTGGAACCATCCTATCATTATTGTATGCATTGTTCTTGCAGTGCTCCTATCTGGAATCGTAGCTTGTGTCGAACGCCGTGCCAAACAGCCTATCATGCCGCTTCATCTTCTAATCACTCATCCGTATGCGAATTTGACGTTCGCGAACTTTCTGGCTGGTGTAGCAAGCAACACAGTTCTCTTCAACGTACCGCTCTGGTTCCAAGCGGTTGAGCTAAGCACGCCATCGGCATCTGGACAGAGGCTTGCGGCGCCAGCTATCGGAGGCTCCATTGCAGGTGTTGCTACAGGCTATGTGTTAGTTACTGTTTCGCAATCTCTAACCCGATAAATACTGACGCCTTCCAAAACAGCATCACCGTGACTCGCCGCCTCAAAGTCATGCTCATCATCGGATCAATCGTTTACCTCGCCGGAAGCATAGCACTATACTTCATCGATCGAAGAATGTCCGAAGTCGCAAAGATCGCTCTAATTACTCCCACGCCTCTTTCTCAAGGCTTCATCTATCCCGGCAGCATGATGGCCGCTTTCGCCACATCACCACAAGAAGAGCAGGGTGTCATCACGACCACACTCTCACTGTGGAGAAATTTGGGAATCGTGGTCGGTGTTTCGATCAGCAGTCTGGTGTTCCAGAACGTGCTGAACCTGCGTCTGGATCAGCTTGTGCATGGACCGCAGGCACAATACTACATTGAGGTCGCACGTAACAGTGTGAGAGCTGTGACTGAGATCCCACAGCCGTACCAAGGTCAAGGTGAGTCTGAGACCATGTTTATTTATGCATCCACTGCTTGCTGAGTTTGGCTCTAGTACGAGACGCTTATGCACAAGCGCTGAAGCTCAGCTTCGTCACTGCCATTGTGGCCTCTGCATTGCTCCTGATCATCATGGTGCCTATGAAATTGCCGAGAATGCAAAAAGGCGGTGGTGGAAATGTAGCAGCCGAGTGATGTCTTCACTCCCACTCCCATCTCGCTCGACCATCACACTGATTGTACGACTTACCGCATTTTTCACCCCTGCGACTGCTGCAGATGGCGAGTTTGGTCCGTACCTTTTTCTACAGAACTGTAGGAATGCGTTCTGAGCCTGTTGGCGTTATGCTGATGAGTCTCGCCACTCTGCAGGGTAAGTTTCAGTTGGTGAGAACTCCTGTAGGAAGCGGGAAAGGCATGCCTAACCTCGACGTTGGTATTTCGGTTGGTTCACGCGAAAGTCGCGAAAGTGCTGATTTGCCAGCGGCTATCTTACTAGCGGAGAAGTGGCTAGAATAGCACCAAATGGATTGCGCTTGTCTTTCAATGATGGAACGAGTGGACCAAGCTGTTTGGTGTCGCCAGCTGCAATGAAGAGCAGTAGGTAATATACAGCTCTTATAGCCATCAGCTAGTCGGCGTCTGTACTTTGCCCAAGCTCCTCGAATATAAGGATGCGAAGACAAAATGGAACGAACTGCACTCAGAGTTCATGTATTCGTACTTTTCGATACAGTACAGCATAATCCGCTACAATCAGGCCTCCAGGGCCCATCATCTCCGATTCCATCTTCCCAGGCTCCTCTTCATAATTTTTTTTACCGTAATCTGCAGTTCAAATGCGTGATGCCATCTTGCTTCCTGCCACCCCGCTTGCGTGTGCGTTCCTGATCCTCATTTTTGTCGCTCATCATCATTTCCATCAAGGTCTCCACCAGTTCGTTGTCCTTCTCGTACTCGAGTCGCCAAGAGCGCACTCTATGCATCCAGCGACACATGAAGATGAGGTACCCGACTGGTAGTACTCCATCCAGATCATCCTCGAGCTCGAGACGATAGCTTCGGCGCCGGCTGTTGGTAGCACCGGTGAGGAAGACCTGAGCTCCGTCCTCGAGGCTAATGGTCAAGGTTCCAGAGTTGTCGCGGAGGATGGCGTGGAAGTGCATTTGAATGGCAGCCGTCTCGTCATACTTGGTTGGACAAAGTCCGATTCTGCCGTTTCCAGAGTAGAGAGGACCTCGTCCATCGTGGTTGTGAGGTCGTTATTGGCGAATTGACATGCGTTGCAGAATTTCACATTAGTAGCATCCTTGTTCTTGCCTTGGAAAGCTGAAACTCACCTGATGGAAAAAAAGAGTGAAGCGCCGTCCTCACAAGAGTAATCGGAATCGAATGATACCCTCCTCTCCACCACCCGAAGGTAGAAAGAGACTCAGATACGCCGCGTATTGCACTAAAGTGTTCTCGCAAGACACAATCTTCGCACTAGCTCCCATAGCCAACGAGCACAGCGCATATGCCCTGACTCGCGGCTGAGATTTCTGATGCCAAATGCAGCCATGAGTGTCATGGTAGGCCCTCACGGGCAGATGCCAGAGCCGCGCAAACTTCCGTGAGAGGATTGTCGGATAGCGTGCAAGGTGAAGATTACTCCGAATTTCTCATTTGCCAATGTGGACAGCGTACGTGCGTACGAGTCGGTTTGTGAGCAAAGAAACGCGGCATTCGTAAGGACGGCGCTTGAAGAAGAAAAGGAAGAGAGTGAGTCAAAGTCGAAGAATTGAAGTAGTCGCTCGCCAAGCCGCGCGACGGCAGCAGCCGCACAGCCTTGTTGCCTGAGTCGACGTCAGATCGGTCCGATCACTGTCAACCACCACCTTCACTTTGTCTTGTTTCACCTCACCTGAGCCTGACAGTCTCCTATCCTTCATCTCTCCTTGTCGGCATCACAACTTCGCAGTCGCCAGCCAAGGCTTTTGCTCAGGCGAACAACTACTACCGACCACTCGCTCGTTATGGCTACGAAAGCCGCTCACAAGCGCCTGACCCGAGAGTATGCCACTATATCCAAATCTCCTCCGCAGTACATCACCGCCCACCCATCAGAGTCCAACATCCTGGAATGGCATTACATTCTGACTGGACCACCGGACACTCCATACGAAGGTGGGCAGTACTGGGGAACATTAGTCTTTCCGCCAGACTACCCATTCGCTCCACCTGCTATTCGCATGCACACGCCTTCCGGACGCTTTAGATGTTCAGAGAGACTCTGTCTTAGCATATCAGATTTCCATCCCAAAAGCTTCAATCCGGCCTGGGAAGTCAGCACCATTCTGCTAGGAGTGCTGTCTTTCATGACGAGCGAGGAAATGACGACTGGCTCGATAAGCGCTTCTGCGGCGGAGAGGAAGGCGTTCGCTGCGCGGACACGGTGGTGGAATTCTACTGGTGGTGGAAGCACGAGCCGGACGCTTGGTGGATCAGTACCGGCGCATCAGCGTACTGGCTTTGGAGCAATCAAGGCAGGCGACGGCGGGAAGAGATTCAGAGAGCAGTGGCCGGAATTGGATGCGGAGAATTGGAAGTGGATGGAGCAAGAGAAGGTTGACCCGCAGACTGGAAAGAGGGCGGATGAGAAGCCGCCTGCAGAGACGGCGGGAGAAGGTGTACGGCAGGGGAGAAAGGGCAAGGCGGAAGCCGCGCTCGATGCCGCGACCGCTGCTAGACGCAACCAGCAGAGTTGGCTCTCCAAGAACAAGTATTACTTGATTGGAGGTGCGCTCTTCATGTATGTGATGGTTGCGAGATTGCTGAAAGACCAGCGAGAACTCTAAATGTTGCTCATGATACCCATGTGTTGCATTTCAGCGAGGCGTTTGTGGATTTGTAGATGTGGGTTGCATGGCTAAACTCGGCTTTTTATGCCGCTGGACGCGAAATGATCGCTACGGAATTACAAGAACGATGATGTTGTCAGTCAAGATCAGACTGTGGAGCACTACCAAACTCGCTTCCGATTCCCTACTTTTATCAAGGCATGAACTTGTGGTACGTGGAGAAATCTCCGAAGCTGACTATGAACGCATACTACGAAAACATACCGTGGAAGCTGAAATGAAAGCTACGGTCCTGTTGTGATTACAATATTACAATGATAGAACGATCAAGACACCATACATTTGAGCGGTGGTCATGGCCAGCAGAATCACCACTCCGTACCATCTATGGACTCCTTAAGTCTCCTCCCGAAATCCTGAATTGGCAACTCCGCAATCTTACTCGTCGCCAACTTTCCCTCATGTCCAGTAGCCGCGATCAGATTGAGCATAGCCTTCAAATTCTCAACCAAAGCTTCCATAATCTCCTTATCAACCACACCATCTCGCCAAGCAAGACTAATACCGAGCTGATGATGCACGACCTCAGCCGGTTCATCGCCACTGCTATCACTCGCAGTCGAGTAAGCAGAATCCGTATCAAAGGTCTTGCTTTGCAGGACTTCGCAACCAACCACTACGGATCGTTAGCATCAAAACGCACTCGGAGGAGAAAATCCAACGACTCACCATCGCAATAAATGAAATTCCCCCAAGGCATAGGTCTCTGAGACCACCAAATCCCCTTCAAGCTCTCCCTCAACCCATCCTCCCATTCCCCAGTCTTAATGAGTCCCGTATTGGAAAGCTGAAACGAGTTCGTATAAGGACTATCCGCTTTGCCCTCGGCATCTAAAGTCAAATTCTGAGTCCTCGAGCAGTACCTCTCATATGCGGTCGGCGGGTCGGCGAAGATCCAGTTTCCCAATTTCTTTGGTTTGGGGCTGGGGTAGAAAGGGATCCACTCTGTGAAACGATCGAGGTCGAGTTCGTAGAAGACACGCAGGAGGCCTGCAGAGGTTCTTGCTATGAAACGGCCGGTAGGAGAATGTATCCAGGTGTGGTAGTTGCGGAAGAGGTCGGTTACTGTGAAGTCGGGTTTCGCGCCGTCAAGGTCCGAGGCGGGGAAGGAGAATGGGGCTATGATAATGTAGTTTCCTGTTGTGGTTGGATGGCCTAACTCGCTGGAGCGGACTGAAATGGGCGTTTGGGTTTTGAATTGAAGGTTTGACGGGAGAGTTTTGTCGTGTTCTTTGATTGCAGTATAGAGCGAATAAGCCACGGCGCCGTGGAGGATGGAGTTGACTGAACCAGCTCCAGAGATCTTGCTGAAGGCCTTTATGCCACCTCCTAGCCAGCCTGGGTGATTTGAGTCGCCTTCTAGGACGATACGTTTGACGCCGGACTCGAATGGTCGTTTCGAAACGGTCACAGGCCAAGTTGGTGGTGGTGGGGGATACGCATTGAGAAATGAAGGCAGGTATGAAGCTGCGCTCTGCAGCCAGCTATCTCTCAGCCAATGCCATGGAAGAGGAAGATCGATCGTGTCCTCGATTCGAGGCGGGAACTGGCCGACTGGTGTACTCCTCTCTATACTCTCGTTGATTTGTGGACGGCGCAGAAGTTGTCGCAGCAATTCGCAGATGCCTAAGCCATCATTGATGACATGCCAGCACGAGAGGGCGACGTAGCAAATTGGCTCTTTTGAAGACTGATTCTCGTAGAATGCCACTCGCCAAAGAGGCCCTTGCTCAGGATCTAACTCAGTATTGTTCCTGTGGTGTTCATGGTTAAAGATGTGCTCCAGTGATGTTGCAGACTGGATCTCCTGGTCGACTATGTGGTTGGCCGTGATGTGTTTCGCGGCTGCAAAGCGCGGGTCCCGAGTAGCTCTGTCAACTACCACAGCGCTGAGCAATGGGAATGTTCTTAGAAGGATCGGTGTGTTCCTCTTGATGATCTGGATCGGTGTTTCGGCAGATCCGGCGAAGGACGCAACCACAACAACTGCATCCGGGCCGGCGCAATGCGAGCTCGCCAGGCAGTATCGGTCATAAAGTACTGAGAGCAACGCCATGCTGAATTTCACGAAAGATCGGATTCGGCACGAGGAAGTGCTGCAGTTGGAGTTGAAAGTTGTACGACAAGATATAGAACGTCTTGGGTAGCCAGGAGAGGAGTTTTCATGGTTTGATCCCTGTTGCTCTATGGCAACACATCCGCAATTAACCAGCGACAAGACCCAATGTTCACGCCAGTGAATTTCGGTGTCCGTGGAGATTATTCCAGCAATGTTTGACGCATTCCGTGCGGACGATGCTCAAGAGTGCGGCGGCACAGCATCTCTCCTGGGCCTTACGTGCAGGCCAGCCATGTCCCTTCAGTCCTGCTCGCCTTGCTGTCTTGTCTTGTTTGAGCATGTTTGTGATTCGAGGACCAATGCCAATCTCATCAAGCTAGGGCGGCTGAACGATAGCGAGGAGGTAGCTCGCCTTTCTGTTGACGTCCATGTCTCTGGAGTGAGGCTGAAGGCCGGCATGGTACAGCGTCTTGTGACATGACTCGCATCGGAGTGAAAGTACAGCGTCTCTACACTTCGGAGTGAAAAAGACTTGGGCCGGACCGCTGAATAACAGGTGACTATTCGCTGTAATCCTTGCTTCTCAGGGAGTTGGTGAATACCCACTTTCACTCCGAAGTGTTCAGACGCTGTAAACACTAGCGACCCGTAAAATTGAGCTTTCTAATAATTCGTTGCGAATCACGAAATCCAGGAATCGGAAATTATTAGGTTGACGGTGAAAGACGATGTGTACCAGGCTGTCGGATCATCCTTGTACAGTATCTGCAGAAGACAGCAGGGATCTTGATTGGCGTAACTACAGCATCAAATACTCACCGAGGACGATTTCCGGCGGAATACAGTCGATGGCTGCTCTTGTCTCAGAGACACCGTTTCGCGAATCTTTCCCAGGATATTAGTCATTATTCAGCAGTGTTGCTATAGGTGTGGACTGGCTGACTCACTCACTCGACTCTACTAACGCGGATGAAGTTTGGCTCCTGTAAGAAAGTCACACGTCCAGTAGTCAGCGCAAAGGTCAGGTAGCCCGCATCGCTGGAAAATGTGGCTGCATCTGCGAGTGTTCGGAGAATGCTTGTAGGCCTTCAATAGGCAAGGCATGAATTGCCCGAGATTTTCATTGGCTTTCGCATATCCTTACTTATTCATTCAGCTCATAGCGCGATTCCGGACGCGATCTCTGATGCCGCTGCGCTAGCTCTACGCTTTCTTGACATCAATCTTCTTGCGGTCAAGGTCAAACCCGCCAACAGTCTTGGTGAATGCCAGTTGTGGTGGCTTGGCCATGATGCCATCCTTGTCACATGCAGCAATAAGTGCCTGAAAATGCTCCGTCTTTGTGTGCTTGCCAGCGTTGGCCATAGTCGTGTACTTCACACAATCAGCAGACTAAGACAACCCTGAGAAGGATGTGATTGACTCACTGTCTCGAACATGTACAGAGCAGGCTCCTCGACATTGATTTGCTGCGTCATGACATATCGTGTTGTCCATTCTTCCTCTTTGCTGTGGACATTATTGATCACAGTCTCCATCACCTCTTTGAGCTATCTCATTTCAATGAGTGGTGCTTTGTTGGCAGACTGTCCTCATACCTGTTCCATCTTGCCCGGAGCCGGATAGAGGATGGCAAAGATGTGTGTCTCTGCTTGTGGTCAGGAACACAAGTCAAGCGAAATGGGGATTCCAAAAACGGACCTTCTGGGTTACTCTGGACGGACGACATGATTGCGGTTCAGGTGGGATTTGAAAATGCCAGATACGTAGACGGGCGAAGTTGCAGATATATCCCGTTCAATGCAGCTCCTGCTCCTGCTGCATGGGGGAGTGACGCCCACCGATCGCGGTACCAGACGGGGAGAGGGAGCTCCAAGAACTCCCATTGCTAGCAGTGTTGATCTCTGAACTTTAATGCCTACACGAAGCCGCGTCGGCTTAGCAAGCGCAGTCCGCGACATGTGAATTTTCGTATTGCAAGTTGCTGATGCCAGCCATGGCAGTATCGTCAAGGTAGAGGGCGTAGGAAGCTTTCATGTCTCTCGTGCGTCGACTACTAGCCGCATTTGCTACCAGAAGGCTCTAGCAAATGAGCTTGAGCGTGCTATCTGGCGGTGAATAGGAGTTTGGTATCACGCTCAGCGTCTATGACGAAGGCCGTAGCGCCTCAAGCCATGCAAGTATTCTCTGCACTTGGACCAAATCTGCTAACTTAGGTATCTCCCTGGCCCCCAATTGGCTGTCTTTGATATCTCTTGCGGCAAGTCTCAATTTGCCCTCGGATTCCTCTCCGGCTGCTCGAAGATCATTGAAGATTGTGAAAGACCAAACTACAGCTAGGTCAAGATTTCAAGGAGGTGACCATGGTCGTCTATGTTTCGCGCGTAAGGTGTATGCAGTCTATCTCCGGTTCAGACCCTTGCTGACTGAGCGCAAGGAAGTGTGGTAGGTGTGGGTCTTCTGCCTGCCTTCCACTACTATGCTCCTTCCACTACTACTACTACTACTACCAATCTATATCGGACTACTACGCGACCGGACCTACACCACTACACTAACCTCCTTGCGCTAGCAAGGGTCTAAGGACAAATGTACTAAATCTATAGTATTATCCTTATAAAAATAAAAGATTACTAACTAGCGTAGAATACTATAATTTGATGCATATATGTTGTAGCCCTGCCATTTCTGAGTCATTCTATATATATAATATTCAAATGCGACGTATAGTTATAAAGAAAACAAGCAATCCTTACTACGGGTAGATATATATATACGACGGATTATTATAGAGCGCTGCTACCTAATATCTAATATAGGAAATACACACATCTATAACTAGGAGGTTGTAGACCGGCTAATCCTAAGTACTGTTTATATAAGCTATATATCGAGAAAATGTATGCCTACTATCTGCTAGCTCTTAAGCGGAGCTAAGCTAGGTACTCGAAATAAGACCTTTAGATCTCGACAAGTAACAACTCGGAGGTTCTAGAATAGCCAATTCTTAATCACTTTGATATAAGCTGTGTTTATATAGAGCGTAGTATTATTATATTATATCTAAGTAGCGGAGGTTATTTAGCTAGCTCGAGGCTAGCACTAAAAGCTAGTACTAAAAGCTAGCACTAAAAGCTAGTACTAGTATATTGTCCACTAATATTCTCGGTTATACACTAAGCTATAGAAGATCCTACGTATAGGCGGCCTTCTGTAGTCGGCCTTCTATAGAAGGCTTCCTATAGTCGACTTCCTATAGGCTATCGTTTACCGAGCTTAGACAAGCAAGCTCCTAAAATATAGTCTTGTTCGGCTTCGGATGCGGGTTAAGGCAGACTTACTCTATGTGTCGTATATCGTATATCTATTAGGGCTAAAGAGGCTATACGTAATTAGCATATAACTAGGCTAGGTAAAGCTAGGGTCTTAGTGCCTTAGGTAGGGCTTAGCGCTTAGTAATAGGCTAACTTGCCTGCCTTCCTCCCTCTTCTCCTAGCTCCTTATCGAATACTACCTATACCTACTACTACCCTATCTACCTGCTAATATACCCTTCTTATATATTATTCGATCTACCCTTTAAGGGCAGTAGCTAGATAGTCCTTATTTTAAGCTTTTAGCGGTATAGCTACGAATAAGACTAATCTAACTATATTGCGCCCGAAGAACGGGACCTATACGTACTATTCTATCGAAACAACCGTACTAATTATCGAGCAAGGCCTTCTATACGGCCTATTATACTAAGTTAATCGCACTAAGCCGATATCTACTAATTCCGCTATATCCGTATCTTAGGGGCCGTTAATACATTATTAGTGTTACCCCCTATTATAATAGCCGGTTTATTACAAAACAACAACCGTGCTACCGCTAGTAGCGCTAGCAATAACAACACTAGTGGTATAGTGCCTACTAAAGTGCCTACTAAAGCATCTACTAAAGTGCCTCCTACTAAAGAGCCTACCGGAGAGCCTACTAAAGAACCTGTAATTCTAGGTAACGACCTAGAATTGTCTGTCGACGACATTCTTAATAATATTGTTAACCGTCGATATAGCTAACTAGCCTTTAGTCCCTAACTAGTAGCGAGACTTTAAGGAGCTACTTAAAACAGGCTTACTGCCTTGCGCTAAGAACAACAGCTAAAGGATAATCTCCTCGAAATTCGTCGCCTATAGGAAGCCCTAATAACTAATACTAAGCCGATAATAGGGCCTTCCTTACTATCGGTCCTAATTTAAAAGAAGGATACTAAGCTTAAGGACTATACCGTGTTTAATAGCTCTAGCCGGAAGCAGTACAACGACTACATTCGTAACTATAAGCTTAACTAGCGCAACGTACTAAGAGCGCTACTAGACGACTATTCCTTAGTTGTATACGCTATACAGTATATTAATAGCGACCTAAAGCGTATATAGGATAACTATTTTAACTCCCTTAATAACTAGACTACTATTTAGTAGCAGACCTATAAAACTATTATGCTAGACACCCTTAGAAACCCTATACTAAGGCAATAACACGCTTAGGACTAGTACCTTCGAGCTAAACAAAAGACTAATTAATCGGCTCGTTTATTCGAGGCCTACTTAAAGACTCTCGAGGACGACCTTCTAGCTAAGACTAATTCTATATAGATCTCGGAAATACGCCTAAAACTTAGATAGGAACTTATCCTCGAATTGGACTGTCGCCGTGTGTTCGAATAAGCTAACCTAATACGTATTCAATTTATAGTCGAAGTAGAAATAGCCGAACGAGCTGTCTAGCTCTAATAACGACTAGAATCGAGGATCCGACTAGCTAGTACTAACCGTAGCAACCGTAGCCGCGGAGGAAACCAAGGTTCCTACTAAGACAATAATACTAATAATAGGAATAGTAACGATCGTAGAAGAGGCCGTAGCTAGCGGCTATATAGAGGAGGCCGTAATAGGGGCCGTAGAAGGGGCTCGTATCCTTATAACGCTAACCGATTAACTAATAACAATAGCTACGGCAGTCTACTAACCGGATTGAAGTGCTTTAATTGTAATAGCACTAGCTATCTACTAGGCTAATGCGACAAACCTAAGGACTAGGCCCGAATTGACCGTGCTTCCGCTAAATACCGAAAGCACCTCTTAGCGGCTAACGCTACCCCTATAGGCCAACCTTCGAAAAAAGAATAAGCGCCGCACTAACTGTTAGCCTTGTGCGGCGTAAGACTATCGATATTGTGCTAGCTATTATACGTACCTATCTTATATCTAGGCGCGATACTAACTATAAGGCAAAGGTTATACTAGACCCTAGAAATTTAGTTAGCGCCCTTATTAGCTATCGCCTAGCTAAGCAATTAGACGTTCGGCAATTGCCTAGGACTAACCTGCTAACCCTTACTTAGTTTAATAACGCTCGGCACTTGACCTATAGGGCCTACTATATTCCTATAGTTCTAAAAGACGACCTCGGAAATAAACGCCTACTAAACTTTACTACCTACGCGGTAGACATAGACAGCCTCCTATCCGACATTGTTATTAGCAACCCTATTCTTAAGTACTATGCTATAGTTATAGACTTAGGCAGTTAATAATAGCGATTTAGAATCGCTAGAAAAGAGGACATTAAATATATCGATATTAGCGAGTGTCCTAATAATATTAGGGTCCTATTTATTAGCAACCTAATACCTGCCTTAGCTAATCCGATAGCTAATCTTCTCGGTAGAGATAACGATGAACCTATACCCCCTAATAGCATAGACCCTAATTAGCTCTCCCGTATACTAGTGCCTATTCGAGAAACCTATATTAATATATTTAAACACTACTTAGCATCGACATTGCCTATATTCAAAGAGACGGACTATAAGATTAATATTATAGAGGGCAAAGAGGTTCCTTTTAGCCCCCTCTATAACCTTAGTAAGCGAGAGCTTGCTATATTGCGTAAGTACCTAGAGGAAAACCTAGCTAATAGCCGCATTCGGTATAGTAATAGCCCTGCTAGTGCACTAATCCTGTTTGTTCTAAAGAAGGATAGTAGCCTACGGTTATACGTTAATTACCGTAGACTTAACGCTATTACTATTAAAGACCGCTGTCTACTCCCGCTTATTAATAAGACCCTCGACCGCCTTTCTAGTGCCTACTACTACACTATATTAGACATTAAGGACGCCTATTACCGCATCCGTATTCGTAAGGGCGATAAATAGAAGACAGCCTTCCGTACTCGCTATAGCTATTTCGAGTACTTAGTTATGCTATTTAGGCTAGCTAATGCCCCTATAACATTCTAGTCCTATATTAATCGGGCCCTTTCGAGCCTATTAGACTACCTTTGTGTAGTTTACCTAGATAACATCCTAGTTTATATACACTTACCTAATATTGCGGAGTACTAGGCTATAGTCCGTAAGGTACTCGATCGCCTACGAGCCTATAGACTATATTGCAAGCCTTCTAAATGCACCTTCGCTACTAAGGAGGTAGCCTTCCTTAGTTTTATCGTATTAACTAATAGTGTTAAGGCTGATCCTAATCGGATTAAAACAATTACTAAATAGCCTGTTCCTACGTCTATTAAGGAGCTTTAATCGTTCCTCGGCTTCGCTAATTTCTACCGCCGCTTTATTAAGGGCTATTTACGGTATATAATGCCCCTAACTAAGCTTACTAAAACCAAGGCCAACCCGTCTAGAGAATTCAAATAGACTAATAAGATACAAGCCGCTTT